GGCAAGAAAATGTATACACTGCTTTAAAGTGGTAAAAACAGGGGTGCTTGGGTGGCTCAGTGGGTTAAAGCCTCTGCCTTTGGCTCAGGTCATGATCCCAGGGTCCTGGGGTCGAGCCCCATATCGGGCTCTCTGCTCCGCGGAGAGTCTATTTCCTCCTCTCTCTCTGCCTGCCTCTCTGCCTACTTGTGATCTCTGTCTGTCAAATAAATAAATAAAATCTTTAAAAAAAATAAAAATTAAAAAAAATAAAGTGGTAAAAACAATGTACTAAAGTAAACATTAAAAAAAAGGAAAATAGCATTTCTTCTCTGATTCTAAAGTTAGTACCTACACAGAAAAGACAAAAAAAATTAAAAAAAATACACGTTATCCTAAATTTTACCCCTAGTAGGCATTATTCACCTTTATAATTTGGTGCTTATTCTTCCAAAGTGGTGTGTGTATGCCTATATATCTATATGAGATTTAATAATACACAGTTTTATGAGTATGCATTATTGTGTATATACACTTGCTTTTCTCTCAACATGCTTTTCATATGTGATATGTGTGTATACATGAACACATATTTATATAACTACGTAAATGGGATTGTACAGGATATGTTATTCCATAGTTTTTTTTCATTCAGCAGTGGGTTATAAAGATATTTTCATGTCGTTGAATAATACAGGTATACATTATCCTTTTAATATCTGTGTATTATGTTTCTGTAGATGTACCTGATTGATTTTGATTGGTCAAATGGCAGCAATGTTTTTTTTTTTTTTTAATTTTTATTTTATTTTATTTATTTGACACAGAGAGGGAGATCACAAGTAGGCAGAGAGGCAGGCAGAGAGAGGGGGAAGCAGGCTCCCCACTGAGCAGAGAGCCCTATGCGGGGCTCGATCCCAGGACCCTGAGATCATGACCTGAGCCGAAGGCAGAGGCTTAACCCACTGAGCCACCCAGGTGCCCCAGCAATGGTTTTCAAATGGGCTTTGGTTCTAGGGAGTACTCTGAGCCAAAAAGCCTATATAACCTCGTGTTGGAGGGACACCAAGATGTGATTGTGAGTTAAACAGCTTTTCTTTGTAGACATGGTTTTCTCTGGTGACTCTTGGAATTAGTGCTTCCAACATGGAAGAGAGCTTCCAGTAATAAGGGCTCAAAGAGTGAGTTCCTTTAGGGAGTGTGGGGTTTCAGGTATGAAGTGACAGGATTGGCCAAGGCTTTAAAGGGAAAAGGAGTTAGGAATGTTGGGATGGAATTGACAGAGAATATAATGCTAATGATTTGAGGCCTTTCTCTCAGGTCAGCAGAGCAAAGCAGAAAGTAGGGAGAGCTTTATCAGTTGTGGAATGGAAGGGAAGGTTTTTTTTGTTTTTGTTTTTGTTTTAAAGTTAGGCCAGTTGTGGAGGTGGACTTCTTGTAGAGATATAATTGCCCTCATTCATGGGTTGGGCATTTGTGAGTTAGACACTGCCTAAAATGTTACCTGTTATGTGGAACTTAAAAATAAACATGATACTGGTTTTTTGATCTCACAACTTAGACAAAATGTAAATGCAGGTGGTTAGGAAGTTACTATTTTGTTTTCTTACTTCCTTTTTTCTTTTTTAAGAAAAAGAAAAGCATTCTGTTCATACTGTGTGTTCTGCTTCCTTAAAGAGCACTCTCAGGCATTTTAGCTACCAGCCAGTCATTTTTTAGAAAGACTTTTGTTGTGTTTCTGTTTAATTAAAGACTGTGTGGTCTATCCTGACTACAGTTCATTCCTTCTTTCTCTCCCTCCCTTCTCTTTTCCTTCAGTCTGAAAAAAAGTGCCATGGCACTATTATTGCAGTGACCCAAATTTACAAGCTATCAGGGTGTAGGAAACCGCTCTGAATGCCAAAATATGTGAGTGAGAAAACCTGGGTCCGGTTTTATCCTGCTAAATGATTTAATCTTTTTAGTAAGGCTTTAATCCAAAATGTCCATTCGTAGACCTGTAGGAGAACAGTAAGTTTTGGGGGGGCTTACTAATAACTTATTATGTAGCATATCAAAACTAGAGTTGAACTAATATCACCACACTGTCTCAGCATTTTTACTCTGCTTTGTTAGGGATGCTACTGAGATTTTTTTTTTTTTTCCTCATTCACACTGATACTCTTTATGATGAGCTTATATATTACATTGAAACTATGAAGTATGTCTTAAAATAACATGGTATTCATTAACTTAATAAACGTATTGAATGGAAGTACTTTTGTAGATATTGGGTATATGAAGATGAATAGTTCATAATCCCTACCCTTATAGAAATGATTGTTTAGAAGGGTGAGATAGAAGTATATGAATGATAACAAGCAAAAAGGAAGGGAAATAGTTCTGTGGGATGTAGGGATGCCTGAAAAAACTTATTAGAGCAGATGCTTTTTGAGAGAGGGTTGTTCACTATGTAGGTACAGATGGGGTGGGACCTGTGACTAGGGGGATGCCCAGACCAGCGCAGAGCATTGTTACTAGGACCACAGAGGTGTGGAACATTATGATATCGCAAATAACTTCATATAGCTAATGTGAAAGGTGTGTATGGAGGGATGGGAGGAGTGATGCTAGAATGGTATCCACATTTTTAAATAGTTAATTAATTAAATCAGGGAACATTGGCAAGTAGAAGGAAACAAGATTACAGGCAGGGAGGTCAGTTTGCGGCTGTTGCAGTAATCTAGCTAGAAGTGCCATAGGCCCAGGCTCTCAAACTAAGTGATTAAAATGAAAACAAAGAAAACAAAGGTGTATAAACAGTAAGGTGTGACTGGTTTTGTATGTGTGGTAAAGGAGAAGGAAGAATCAGGATGACTTCCAGATCATCCATTTTGTAGGATTTTAGTAGATGCCAGTGATTATTTGAGGAGAAGCTGGCTTAAGAAGGAATAATAATGGTGTTTGAACATGTTGAATATGAGTTGATAAGAGATACCCAAAAAGATGTGTTCTGTACATATGTGGATCTGTAGCTCAGAATGAGTTTATAATTAAGGATTCAGAGTCATCAGGTTTGAGTTTTTTGCAATTGTGGGAGCGTGGGTGTGGTAATCTAGGAGTTCAAGAAGAAAAATGGTGGGGGTGAACATTTTGAGGTTGGGCCTGAAAAAAGAGCTGGTAAGAAAATTGAGAGGGAGTGGTCTGAAAAGATCCATTGAATTTGTCAGATGGGCGGTGTTGGTGATTATTGCTAATGTGACGTTAGTGGTGTGCTAGGAGCAAAAAGCATATGAAGAATAATTCTATGTATTGTATTCATTGCCTTTATGCACTGAATTATAGATGTAAGTATAATGTATTTTATTAAAATTAATAATACTTTAAAGATACAGATAAGTTTAGAGAATTATTTAACCAACTCTTGTGTACCCCCTATACAGTTTTTTCAGTTTTTAAAAAACTTTTAAATTTTTGAATAATTATAGATTCATAGGAAGTTATGTAAAACCAGCACAGAGAGGTCCTCCAGTATGGCCTTCACTTAGCCTCCTCCAGGCACTTGTTCAATTTACCAGATGTCTTACTTGTTCAGTTTACCAAATGTCCTGGACTGGTTTAAATGCTAATGTTTTGGGATGGGTTATGAAATTGCAGGTAGTGTAGATTTGGATTGTGTACCCCCCACATGGTGCAAGCCTGGGGTTTTGATTCTCATAGGAGCCTTTCTCCTTCCATTGGGGGCAAGGCAGATGGCAGGCTTCCTTGCTGGTTCTTAGAGCATATGAGTGGAGCTTTTCCTGTTCTCTTCTCACATACTGAGCACCCCTTTTGAAGATCTTGGCTCAAAATAGGGGTTTTACTTCTAGCTCTTTCCTGAAATAGGCTCAAAATCAGGTCTTCTATCTTTAGACCAGTGTGCCCTGAGATTGCCTTGGTGCTGGGTGTCAGCTAGAGTTTCTTCCTTTCTGGAACCTGGGAATTTCCCTCCCCCTCTCCTTTTAGGAGTTCAGTTGTGTTCTGGTATTTCCTGTTGCTTTGGCATTTCAGTGAGTATATTTGGGCACATGGCTATATTAGGCTAGTCTACCTTGTTGCTTCAATCAAAAGCTTAAAAAACTATTTTATAACTTCTTATTTCTTGAATTTATTCTTTGTTCATAAAAAGTACTTGAGATCAGGTTATATTACTTATTAAAATATTTATTTTTAAAATGGATAATGCATAAAAATTAAAAAAGACCTAACCAGAAAAATGAAACACAAAAAAGAAGAAAAAAAGGGTAATATATGCTTGTGGTATGAAATAGGAAAAATAAAAAAGGGTATATATGTCTCCCTTTGCCCTTTACTTCCTTGTGAAGTTTCCCTTCAGAGATAAGACCCATTTATAAGGTTCTCATATATCCTAGAGGTAGACTCTGAACTGGTTTTCTTTTTTCTAACAGCAGTTATAACTTTACAGTAATGCTTATAATTTAATTTTGTAACCAGAATTCAGGATTTTTCCATCTGTTTGACAAGTAGCAATTGTATTCTCTTTTTTGAGAGCTTTTGAGAGAGAACGTTATACTAATTATATGTTATATGTATGTTTATATATATGTGAATGGATTATCTGTGTTTTAATTTTTGTTTGCCTGAGAAATCCCTCAAAATGTGACAGAATCTGACAAAATAGTATAAACTGTTGATTCAGATGTTTTAAGTTAGTATGTGGAATATTAAAATAGTGGAACATTAACCCTAATTTTTGAGAGGTAGTGGAAATGATATTTTAAGATAGTGAAATCTTAGTGAATGAAACACCTTGAGGATATCCTTACAAATTATCCTAATTACTACTCAGTACATACTCTTGTTTGCATATGTGCAAATAATTGCCCAAAGAAGTGAGGGAGGCTCTGTCATAGATGAAGCCCTCTCTTTTAGGTTCCTTAGCCATAGTTTATACCATTGATTGCCTAACTGCGGCTTGGTGAAATTCACTGGCATGGAAGCAAGAAATGGAAGCCTATGACCTAATATGTTTTCTTCCTTAGATCAACCTCTCCACTTCTCCTACACCTGCACAGTTAATAAGCCGTTCCCAGGCTTCCAGTTCTACCAGCGGCAGTATTACCCAACAGACTATGTTACTAGGGAGTACCTCCCCTACCCTAACGGCAAGCCAAGCTCAAATGTATCTCCGAGCTCAAATGGTAAGATATGAGCTACCAAATTTTTTCAGTGTTTAAGGACTTGAGAGAGATCGAAATGTTTCTTGATTTGATGCAATAAGAGGCATTTTTAATACTTAAGAAATGTTTAACAAATTTTTTTATATGTATGTGCTTAGCTCTTATACATTTACATCATGAAAAATTCTATTTTTAATTGGTAGGGCTTCTTGGTGTATCAAATAGCAACATTGGGAAGCTAACAGATTCTGTAACATGAAGTGACTGTTTTTTTAATACCGAATTTTATAATTCAAACTTTTTTCACATCTTAACATCTCTGAAATTGAGGTGCATTTATAATTGATGGCATCTTACAGTTAAAATTAATGTTTGCAGTGATACGTAGAAATATATATGAAAAATCATTGTATATCTTTGACAACTTAAATTTGATTAAATAGTTAGCAATGTTAAAAAGTTGTGGTTAACTATAAGTTAGAATTTATACTGTGGCATCTTCTTAAATCTGGATTGGAGTTCCTGGTAATTTACCAGATAACTTTTAGCTTTGGTTATTCCCATCTTAAACTTAAACAAAATATTTGTGTTCTTATGTTCACTTTGATCTTTTGTTAATACAGGAATGTTAATTTGGCTCTTCTGTATTTGAGTACCTACTGATTTCCTAGTTTACCTGTTGAGCTTCTTTAAGGTGTTGGTTAGCATTTACTTTATTTGATGTCTGCAGGTAGCTAGACAAGAGCTTTGGTCTAGTATGTATTTACTTATATTCTTTTTTGTCCAATGAACTAAATATATATCTGGATCCCCAGTTCTCCACTAAAATTACAAAGAAAGTTTTCCATCATATTTCTAATAGGAAACAATGACATGATCCACCTTTTATTTACAGATTATTCAGTGGACATTACCATACGTCTGTGTTTTTTCCCCTAAGGGATCTTATTTAATTAATAATGTGCTTTAAAATTAGGCTGAATCATTTGAAGTGACTACTTTTGACCTCTTTATAAAACTTAAAGTTTCTTATGGTTCAAGATAAATAGAACAAACATATTCTCTTTATTTTTAGTGCTTTTAGTTGTTTGTTCTGGCAGTTACCTTCTTGTGAAAGTTATACTTCATTGTTTAATTCACTTAAATTTAGTATTATAAAGAACTGAAATTTAAAAGATCCTATAGTCAGTAATTTTAACTTAAACAGTAACAGTTTGAGGACCTGAATAACTCCTAATGCAATTTTAAAATAGAGTATTTACACACTGTGTGAAACGACTATCATAATATACTAAATTGGATTGGATAATCTCTGCGTGGATTGATAGTGCCTTTTTAAACTAATGGCATTCTGTTTTAATATTGAAAAATAACATTTGAAGAGATGGTGATAAGTAAATAAATTGAGTATGTCTTCCTCATTTATTTGATGTGAAGCTTTTTTGCAGGCTGTTTTGTTGTTGTATTTTGACGTGGCATTTACATTTGGAATGAATATTTCTTTATGACTAGTTTTAAAATCAAGAGCAATTTGGTTTGTATTGTAGATCCCATGTAGCTGAGTGAAATACTGTAGTATGGGGCTTAGTTATCTTTTGTGATAAGGAAGACTGAAAAGACTCTTGTGTTTCTTTTCAGGTTTCTCACTGAAATTTGTATTCAAGAGTGGTTGTCTATTAAAAATAACTTCATTTTAGAAATCCTGCCATAGTAGTTTCTGAGCTGGGAAAAGTTGAGTAAATAATAGCTTATTTGGGGTAAAATTTGGTATGAGGATTTCATATTACTAAAATACATTTTCTTTTTGGAGCACTGATTTATTTTTCTACTCATCAGAATCATGAGCTGTTTCAAAATGTTTATGCTTTTTTTTTTTTTTTTTTGAGTTCTGTATTAGAAACTTTTCTTTGTCATGTAAAACCTTTTGCTTAGAGGACAGTCCTAAACTGCATTGTCTTTCTGTCACAAATTTCAGTCTCTCTTGCCTGCTATACATTGTGTGTGGGACACGTTCTTTTGTCTTAGGGTATTTTTTTGGTTTTTCTGTCTGTACAGCTGATTTTCACACCCGCTACCACTGTGGCTGCTGTACAGTCTGACATTCCTGTTGTCTCGTCGTCATCGTCATCTTCCTGTCAGTCTGCAGCTACTCAGGTGAGCTTGTCTGCTTCATAATGTGGTACTTGAGGTCTGGATCTTTAGGTTAAAGATAAACATACATTGTGTTTAAGTTGCTGATGATTTCAGTGCTCTTTATCCTACATTTTGGATTGGAATTTAATGAAATACTGTGAGAACTTCAAGAAGTTTTGGTTACATAGAAATTACCATTAAGCACAGATATTTAGGTTATTTGACATTAGTGAAAGTTAATGAATTTTTGCTATAACATGGTATGTTTAGTTTTATTATAAAGCAGGCTTATTGTTCTTACTATGTGAGTTGTATTCTTTTGTGTAGATTCCTTTGCAAGCAGTTGTGTAATAACTAAGTGAAGATAGATTTTAAGTTTAAAAATGAATTGGGGAAATTCTTAACTTAAAAAATGGAATAGAATATTATTTTGTTTGGTACTATGAAAAAACCTTAATTTTCTCCTCACACCATTTACAAAAATATTCTAGAAGATTTAGAATATAGACTTAAAGGTAAAGCCTAAACTATAAAACCTCTAGAAGAAAGCATAAGGATTATTTTTACAGCTGTATGGTACGCAAAGCTTTCTGATGAGATCGGGTGCATTCAGGATGGTATGGCCGTAGACTAGGCAAAGCTTTCTTAGGACACAAAAAGCACTAACCATAAAAAAAAATAATAACAAATTTGAATTTATCAAAATTAAAATCTTCAAAAAACATTGTTACAAAAGTGAAGAGGCAAGCTACAGACTGAGGGAAAATACTCATAATACGTATGTCTGACAAAAGAGTTGTATCCAGAATATACAAAGTAATGCTTATAGCTCAGTAAGATCAGTAAAAAATGGGCCAAAGATTTAACATTTCACAAAGGAAGATATACAAAAGGCCAATAAGCGCATGAAAACATGTTCAACATCAATAATCCTTACAGAAATTAAAACCACAATGAATATGATTGCGCACTCACTAAAATGGCAGAAGTGAAGGAAGCTTCATAATACCACATGTTGGTGAGAATTGGAGCAGCTGTAATTTCATAATATTCTTTGTGAGAATGTAAAATGTTGTTACAACTTTGGAAAACAGTTTATCAGTTCCTGATAAAGTTAAACATATACTTAACATGTGACCTAGCAAATCTGCTTATAGTTTTTTATTCTGAGAGGTTTGGAAATGTATATACATATAAACACATGTAAATGAATATTTGTAGCAGCTGTATTCCGAATAGCCCCAAACTAGAAACAGCCATTGTCTTTTAACTGGTAAATGGATAAATAAACTGGAATATTACTCAAAAATAAAAAAAGGACACACTCCTGGTGCATCTCAGAAACATCATAATAGCAAAAGAAGGCAGACACCAGAGAATATCTACCATGTGATTTTTTTTTTTTTAAGATTTATTTATTTACTTGAGAGAGTGCATAAGCAGGAGGGGCAGAGGGAGAGTGAGAGAGAATCCCAAGCAGATTCTCCACATTGAGTGTGGAGCCTGAGCAGGGCTGGATCTTACAACCATGATGAGGTTATGACCTGACCCAAAACCAATAGTCGGGTGCTCAACTAACTGCCCCCCTGTGATTCTTTTCACTGAAATTCCGGAACAGGCATGGCTAATTTATAGTGAAAAAAATTGGTGGTACCTAGTTCAGAAGGTGGGAGAGATTGGGGACAGGCATGGGTGAACTTGTATGTGATGGAAATGTTCCATATTTTCATTAAGGCGTTTGTATAACTCTTTGAACTGTTTATTCATTTTATTGTAAGTTACATCTCAGTAAAGTTGACTAAAATGAATTAAATAAATTTTATTTCTTAAAATTAATTTTATTTTTTCAAGTAATTTGTATACCCAGTATGGGGCTCAAACTCACAACCCTGAGATCAAGAGTTGCGTGCTTTACGGACTGAGCCAGCCTGGCACCCTGAATAAATTTTAATTAAAACAATTGAGTAGGGGTGTCTGGGTGGCTCAGTGGGTTAAGCCTCTGCCTTCGGCTCAGGTCATGATTTCAGGGTCCTGGGATCGAGCCCCGCATTGGGCTCTCTGCTCAACAGGGAGCCTGCTTACCCCCCCTTCTTTCTGCCTGCCTCTCCACCTACTTGGGATCTCTCTCTCTCTCTCTCTCTCTGTCAAATAAATAAATAAAAAATCTTAAAAAAAAAACAAACATTTGAGTAGAAGGGGTGCCTGGGTGGTGTGGTTAGTTGAGCGTCTGACTCTTGGTTTTGGCTCGGGTCATGATCTGTGTCATGGAATTGAGCCCCTCTTCAGGCTCTGTGCTTGGCAGGGAGTCTGCTTGAGATTCTCTCTTCTTGTCCCATTGCTACTATCCCACACACACACTCTCTCAAATAAATCTTAAAAAAAAAAAAAAAAACCCAGTTGAGAAGGATATTACTTTGTATGATACTATTTTGGTATTTTTTTCCGTAGCTAATGTTTTAGACTGCATATGGCAGAAATAGGTATAACTTAGTCATCGTTGGCTTTTTGTTTTTAATTTAATCTCAATTTTTTTGGTAAAAGTTAAAAAAATTAGTAGTAATATTCTTTGGTACTTTTCATAGAACCTCTTTATTACTTTATTGAATAATAAAGGCCAATTTTCAATAATAGCATATAAAGATGATGATCATTTAAACTCAGGTTTCTCCTAATGTGCTTTGTGTCCCCATCCACAATTCCTTAATGTTTTTGTACTTTAGTTTCCATATTTACAAAATGAGACCTTTATTACCTTTAAGGTTCTTTGACCTCTAAACCTTTATGATATCTCTTTGTGGAGTGATTTGTTGAAGTAATGATATTCCTATTTTCTTTTGGTTTTATAAAACTCAATAAAGATAGACCATAATCAACTTCCAGAACATGTTAAATTTTATTTTTTATTTTTTCTTGACTTTGTTTCAACTAAGATTTTATTTAATTGGTTTATAAAATGCATACAATAAAACAAGATAAAATAAATTGAAAACATGCATGAAAAAAGCAGAAATCAAAATAGAAAAGTGGCATAGAGTTAGGAGTGAGGGTCCTCTTTAAGTTACACACATGAAATCCTCCATGATTAATTTCAGCTCCCACTTCAATTATTTATTAGTTGTATTAGCCAAGTTATCAAACATTTTTATCATATATATTTGTGTATATATATATATATCTATATCTGTACAGTCGTATATACTTGTAGGGTAAATTGAAGAATGAATAATAATAGATGTGTTTAGTGTCTAGAACATTATAGGTACTCAGTACTTTTTTTTGCAAAAGGAGGAATTGAAAGACTTGGGTTAAAATTCTGACTTCAACAACTGCCAGCTTTGTCACTCACCAGTTGATTGATTTGAACAAGGTCATAGTGTAGCATACTGTTACAAGTTTGGACTCTAGAACTAGACTCTCTTGGTTCAAGTACATGCTCTGCCACTTTTTCATTATATATAATTGACCTCTCCCTCAGTTTCAACAATATAAAATAAATATTTATAAAATGATTCACAGGGTTGTAGTGAGGATTAAATATGTTAGCAATTGAAAAATAAGGGGCGCTTGGGGGGCAGTCAGTTAAGCATCTGACTGTTGGTTTCAGCACAGGTGATGATTGATCTCAGGGTTCCTGAGATGGAGCCCTGCGTTAGACTCCACGCTCAGCAGGGAGTCTGCTTGAGATTCTCTCTCCCTCTTCTCCCACCACACTCTTGCATGCACGTTCTCTCTCACAAATAAATGAATACATCCTTAAAAAATAATTGAAAAATAGAACAGTATCTGATACTTAGCACTCACTAGATATTAGTTGTTATTATTACCTATGCTGAGCCTCAGGTTTTCTTTTTCTAAAGTAAGTTCTACACCCAGTGTGGGGCTTGAATGCATGACCCTTGACATCAGGAGTCTGCATGCTCTAGTGACTGAGCCAGCCAGGTGCCCTGAGCGTCAGTTTCTTTTTTCTTTTCTTTTTTCTTTTTTTGGACATTCTAAAGCTTTCATTAAAGTATAATATACATCCAGAACATATATTAAGTGTTCAACAATCTGTACCAGAATATGCTTACATCCCAAGCACCCAGACCAACAGGGAGAAACTTACCAGGATCCAGAGAAGCCTCCCTGATGGCCTGTTTTGGTCCTGTCATTGCTGCCCCTCAAGAGTCACACTATCCTGACCTATGTTAGTTTTGCCTGTTTTTAAGCTACATTTAAATGAAATTATGTTGGATATAATTTAAGCCTCAGTTTCTTCACTGTGAGCTAGAATAGCTCAGACTTGTGAGAAGGAATAAATGAGACAATACTCAAATGTATTTAGCATAGTGCCTGGCACATATCACAAGCCACTAATCACTATTTTTGTTATGTATTATCTAAAGATAAGTCATGACTTCACTTCTTAGCTTTCAAGTAGCTAATAGTGAAGAGAGAAAGGTAGCCATTTAAGTGATTCACAGTTTCCAAGGTAAAATAAACCAGTTGTTAGAAAAAACAACTAAATGCTCTCTAGAGAGTACTCTAGAGTGTGTCTTGTGTGTTCTCATGGAGAAAACCTCTTAGAGTGTCTTTAGTAGTACTTTTAATGTGAGCATAGTCAAAATAATTTTATAAAAGTGGCTCTTTGGGGTCCAGTTTGATGTGACACAGGTATGTGGCTCTGTGATAATTTGACTTAATTCAAGGATAGACTTTGAGAAACTAAAGGGATGGATTGACCTTTAGGAATTTGTCTACAAATGTTTTTTCTTTGCAGTGCTTTTGAAATGGCAGTAAATGAAGATGACAGTGGTAGGGGACGCTAATACTTTGCATATTCTAGTGGTAACTGTCCTCAAATTTGGGGCTGTTAGTTTTGAAAAACTTTGTGTTCCACTTTGTTAATTTTTCAACTTAATATGAAATTTTTAAAACAAAGAATTTGTAATTGAGAGATGCCAAAGTTGACATTTTATTTTAATGCTCTTTTACAGAAGTTAGTATAACAGTTAATTTTTTCTTAGTATTAAAATTCATTTGTAGCATACTGTCCAAAAATAAGAAATTTGGAATATCTTACCCTTATTTACTATTTTAAATGCACCATCCCTTCTCTCCACCATGACCAAGAAAATAAGTAAAAAGTCTGACTTTCAGAAAGATATAGGACTAAAAGTAGCAAATCTTACTTACCAAGGCTATCAGGGAATGCTTTTAGAATTGAGGAGAAAATAGTCCTTTGGATTTAAAAGCTAGAAACTCAGCTCTGCTGTTGGCAGTGTGACATTAAGTCTTAGTTTCCTCATTTTCAAAGAAGGGATGTTACACAGTAATTCACACAGTATTTGTTAGAGCCAAATTAAATAATAGATATGAGTATTTGAGTAACGCACTATAAAAATGTAATGTGTGAAATTAGCAGAAATAAATCATGTGCAACCTAGATTTTTTAAAAGTCAGAATGTTTCCATAATTTGATCATACGAAAAGTTCAGATGAAATGCAAGTTGGACATTAGAGAACTATTTTGTATCTAGAAAGGGTGGATTCTTCTCAAAAGGGAACGTCTGTCAAGGACATCTGAGTATGTGATCTTTCTATTAACAGCTGAATTAATTCTACTGTACTCCGGGAGTATGGTTGACATGTTTTGAATTTATTATAAATATTTAAGCCAAGATGACCATAGTTATTATGTGGCCATACTCCAAAATTTATTCATATAGATAATGTATATGATACATATAATAAGCACATACATGCATTTTCTTTCAGATTTCCAAAGAACAAAATTATTCTATTAGAAATGGATTGCTGCAGGTTTAGGGTTCATTGTGTGAAATCCTCATATACTGTGAATGTGCTTTTTATTTGAAAGAAAGTTTTCTCGTTTTTCAGATTATAATTTAGCCTTTGAATATCATTATGATTTGGTTCACTTCTAGATCATTTATGGCTGACATTCAGTTTTATGCTGTTTTTTCCCTTCTTGAAAGACTTTAATGTGCCTCCACTAGATACTGGTTGAGATTTTTTTTGGTTAAATATGAACAGATTTTACTGCTTGCCTAAAAAAACTGTAAATAGAACTAAACACTTAGCAAAAAAAAAAAAAAGGCAGTTAATATATATTTTAAAATCAGATGTAGGAGAATATCTCAGACTTGCGGAGTTTCTGTTATGTCTGTAGCACTGAACTGTGGGGAGTACAAAAATGAATGTCAGAGATGAGAGCCTGCCAGCAAGTGTCTCAGCATTTCACAGACACATTAGTAATTCTAAAATAAGCTAGACATATGTCAGTACTGTAGGCCAGTATGTCCAAATTCTGTGGGAAAGGCATTGTAGAGGAGAGGAGAAATTATTTCTAACCAGGAACTTTGGAGAGCCTTCTTTGGGAGAGAGTGGGATTTTACTGGGCTTTGAAGAAAGGATTGGGCTTCAGGAGAATGGCATGTTAGGCAAGAGAAACTTGAGCAGGGGTTCTCTCTGAATGGAGGAAGTATAAGGTGTATTCGGAGAAGGGTGAGCAGAACGGTTTGGCTAGAATGTGAATATTGTGGATTAAAATAGTGGGGAATGGGGCTTAGAGTGGTTTGGGCCTAGACTGTGGAGGGCTTTGAGTGGCAAGCTGAGAAACCTGGATTTTAGCAATTTTATTTTTGTATTAAATTTCAGTAATACCACAATTATTAGTCCACCTACATTGCTATGAAATATTTGACAAAAATCTGAGAAGGCGCTCCATATGGTCTCAGAAAATTCTTTCAGTAGTTTAGAATAGACTGATTCAAGCCTCAACTGCTCTGAAGTGAACATTTGTTCAGCACCTGCTGTTGGCTGCCCACTGCATTTGGCACTTAGGAAGAGAAGTTTTAGCCTGTATCAGTTAAATGATACAGTTGTAGAGCCAGAACACACATGAAACAGGAATGTGCATAAAGCAGCAGTATCTCATTTGCTTTGTCACTTTAGAATCTTTTGCTTCAGTTTCCTTCTCAGGGTCCGTGCTAGCATAAATGTGTTTAATGCATTCATTTCCAGATCGGTAAAAGGTTGGGCAGCTATTGGAGAGGCATTTTCTGTCTTGCCTTTGGATATGGTATAAACCTCAGGTGAAAGTCATTGGGGGATGATCTTGCTACCATCCAGATTGGTGGTATGTTTAGAATAGCCCTGGATGTAGACAGGACTCATGGTGTCTTGGTAGATAGGAGTCTACTCCTGTACAGGAGTCATGGTGTAACCCATTTCGAGGCCCCAATCGAAAGGTCTTTTCAGTTCATGAGAGCTAGTTCTCAAAGCCATGTGAGTATTCCGTAACAACAGGACTTTAAAAAGAAGTTGGGATATGCTTTTAATTATCACAGTGGGCAGGTGATTTGATGAATGAGTTTCCTAATTTACAAGATGAGTGTTCCCTTATAACCTCTGTAGAAGGGGTAGTTTTTGTTTTGTTTTTTTCTTTTTCTTTCTGATCTGTGTGAGGATGACAGTATTGTATATGCACACTCCTAACTGTATGTAGTAACTTCTCACAAGAGGATGAAGCTCTTGTAACCTTCAAGGTTTCACACTCTTGGCCTGGAGGAGTCAGAGTGAAGTTGAAGGGATTGCTCCTTCGCTTACACACCCTGGGCTCTTCTGCCACCGAGGCTTTGATCAAGTTTTCCTTTTTATCTGGAGTACCCTTCTCTCTCCTTCCCTTCGCTTGTCTCTGAGCTGATAATTTCAAAATGCAGTATGTTGCAGTGTGATTTCCTCATGTATATAGTTCATTTGATATATATATACTGTTTTCATTTTGTTCTTAATGATTACCTTAATTCTTTTTAAAAATTTTTACTTAATATTTAAGGTATGATTACTTAGAATAGTAACTCCCCTTTCTTTTAGGGTTAGTCAGTCATTTCAAGTGCTTGGAACTTGATATGTAAAAAACATAATATAAATGTATTGTCATTGTTGTTATAATGGTAATGATTGTCATATCTCAATTAATTCCATCTGTTTCATCCTTATTTTTTGTTGTGTGGTTCTTAGGTTCAGAATTTAACATTACGCAGCCAGAAGTTGGGTGTATTATCTAGCTCACAGAATGGTCCGCCAAAAAGCACTAGTCAAACTCAGTCATTGACAATTTGTCATAACAAAACAACAGTCACCAGTTCTAAAATCAGCCAACGAGATCCTTCTCCAGAAAGTAATAAGAAGGGAGAAAGTCCAAGTCTGGAATCACGAAGCACAGCTGTCACCCGGACATCAAGTATTCACCAGTTAATAGCACCAGGTGGGATAAACTTGTTGGAAGTAGTTGCATTTTTCACTTTATCATCAGGCAGAGCAAAACAAAAGATGTCTATTATGTGAACAAAATTACTTTTAAAAACATTTTTAAATGTGAATTTCATGAGTTTAAAAAAAAAAACAGTATTGTAGTTGAAAAAAGAGAAATCAAAAGAGCCCAATAGCTAAAACAAATAATAATAATAAAATAAATTTTTTTGGTTAATTGACATTTGATTAACATCTTCATTATGTGCTGGTCTTTCATTGTATTGGTAAAACCAATAGCTTTTATTTTTTATTTACTTAATTAAAAAAAATTCTAACTCCTGTAGAGTTAACGTACAGTGTTATATTAGTTCCAGGTGTATAATATAGTGATTCAGCAATTCTGTATATTACTCCATGCTCATCAAGAAAAGCTTACTCTTAATCCCCATCACCTATTTTACCTGTTCCCATCTCCCTCCAGTCCCCTCTGGTAACCATCTGCTTGTTCTCTATAGTTAAGATTCTATTTTTTGGTTTGTCTCTATTTTTTTTTCTTTGTTAAATTCCACATATGAGGGAAGTCATATGGTGTTTCTTTCTCCGACTTATTTCACTTAGCATTATATTCTCTAGCTCTGTCTATATTGTTGCAAATGGCAAGATTTCATTCTTTTGTATGGCTGAATAAATTTGTGTGTGTGTGTGTGCGTGTGCGTGTGTATCACATCTTCTTTATCCATTCATCTGTTGATGGACACTTGGGCTGCTTCCATAATTTGGCTGTTGTAAATAATGCTGCAGTAAATAGTGATGTAGGTATCCTTTCAAATTAGTGTTTTCATATTCTTTGGGTAAATACCCAGTACTGTGATTACTGGATTGTAGGATAGTACTATTTTTAATTTTTTGAGGAACCTCTGTACTATTTCCCACAGTGGCTGCACCAGTTTGCCTTCCACCAACTGTGCCAGAGGGTTCCTTTTTCTCCACATCCTTGTCAACTCTTGTTTCTTGAAAAACCTTTTAGTTTAAGGAAAAAAAAAAGATTTGCCTGTAGTTTATTTAATAAGCTTTAGTGGGACAGAACTAAAAGCTCTTAAAAAAGCACATTTTTTTAAAGTTATCATTAGTGAGTGGAGTTTACCACTTTACAAAAATAAGGATTTTGTATAATTATTTTTCTTACGATGTTGCTTTTTTTCCATCTCTGAGAGGAAGATGTCAGGCAATCAACTAAGTCATTTTCATTCTCATCCACCTTTGAATCCTGTATGTGCTCTCTCTGCTATCCACAAGATGAGATCCTTCATGGTTCTTAGGCTGAAAATGTTGGGGCCATCCAGAGTGAGTTTCCTTACCACCTCTTCTGTTCATCTCAGAATTACTCAGTGTTAAGCTTCCTTCACTTCTAATAAGATACGGAGTTACTCGTTTTCTACTTTAAAGTTAACACTGTTTGCTTGTGTCACCAATTGTATCTTTTTTACCAGCTCCTAACCTTCTCTTATAGTTGTTATATAATCTTTTGTCTCCCTCGTGCTGGATCCCTTCCTTTGCTTCTCAGCCATACTTGTATCTCTTCTGTAATATATCTGCATATGTTTTTATTCCAGTCCAGCTATTGTTTATTGAAAGTATGTGTGTGTGTTATGCACTGGGCTAGACACCACATATATTTCATTAAAAAAAAAAAAAAGTCCTCCCTTAATTCAACTTCATCAAGCACCTTCTTTCTGTCTTTTTATAACTACGTACTACTTTTTAAAGATTCATTTTATACTGTTGAAGTCTGCTTTTTCTCCACCTAAGTCTGTTTTTCTTGCATGTTTCCTCTGTGCTAATATTGCTTGCATTCTCTGTAGTACCCAATCTCAGTGTCTTAGAATTGTTTGATATTCCCCTAGTTAGAAATCTCATCACTTCGAACTGTGTAGTGTTTTTATGTTTTTTTGTGGTCCTTTTTCTCTTATAGTTATTTGTATACTTACTAATCTTAGTTTTTGTACTGTATAATAAGCTCTTTGAGAGTAGGATGATAATAATGAACACTTATGTGTCAGGTACTTTACAGTTATTAACTTCTTTAATCCTCTTTCGTTTCACCTTTTCACCCTTTTTTCTTGACAGCACTAAGTTGTGCCTTATATGTACTTATTTACATTAGGTGGACAGTAACTATTTGGTGGATTAATAGTTGGTCTATTTTTCCATTTGAATTTTGGAAATTACAGCACAATTTTTTTTTTTTTTTCCATTCAAACTGGGTATCACTGTTTGGAATTCTTAAATCTGAATCTTTATAAATTAATAAGTCCATTCATAGTATAGTGTGATGTGAATTCTTTTTTATAAACATCTGTGTGCCTAGGTCCTGCTCTCTGTATGGCTTGATAACAGGATTTTTGTACTCTACTGTTTAGAGTATTTTCAGCCTCAATCCAGCCTCTGGCCAGTTTTGATAGGCATCATAGTGGAGCATTAGTGACTCGCTGCACTTGACATGACTGCTTGGGACAATTTTTAGTGATTATAGTTTTGATAGATTATAATGGGGGGTAGGTTAATTTCCTTCCATAGAGAATGCTCCCTTTAGATAAAGCTAGGACCTCTTGCAGGGTTAGTTGGTTCAAGCAAGGAGATTACTTTTAGATTTTCAGTTCTCCTGAGCTCCCAATACCTGGTTCTAAGTTGACAATTACTCTTCTGCTTTTCTTTAATTGATAGTGTGGTAGGATCCCTATCATTGCCTTCCTCTGATGGCCAGTATTTTATGTAGGTTTGGAGGAGACCAGTAAGCTAAAACCATCAGACTCTCAGGACATTTGCAGTGCCAAAATTAGATCTCTTAAGTGTGTTAACCAAACTCCAATTTCCCGTGGTGGTGTTGATTAGAAGTAAAACCAAATGAAATACCCTAAGCCACAAAAACCTTTGCAGTTACTAAACTTATAAATTCACTCAGTCCTTACACTGCAGTTATTCAAAGCAGTTTGTATCTTCTGGCTAGGCAATAGCTGAATTTTTCCACTCTTAGTTTTTCTGCTCATGTTGGTGAGAAGTTAGTCTGAAGTTAAGGGATTTTTTTGTTGTTGTTGTTGTTTTTGAGATTCTTGGTAATTTATCCTGTTCCTCAGTTAGAAAATGCTTATTTATATAGGTCACTTTCAAATATGAAAAAAATCTACTGGTATTCTACTGTAGCGTAGACTAATAATTATTATAATGGATATGGTTATTGTTTCCTTATACTTATTTCTAAGATGCTAAAATCATTTGGTTTTCTTCATTTCTTCTTGAATTTGTAGCTCTCACTTGATAGTTAATCTATTTTTAATATATAAAATAAAGGTGAATTTTAACCATATGACTGGAAATTATCACTAACTGTATTCGAGTTCAAGTTTTTATAGCAGTTTTTAGAGCTTTTATGACATCAGTTGGAAAAAATATATACCAAACTTTTTGTAGACATTAATTTAATATGTAGTGAAAAGCCTATGCTAGTCTGCTCAGGCTGCCATAAAGGATATCATAGACTAGGTGGCTTAAACAGTAGAACATTATTTTCTCAGTTCTGGAGGCTGAAAAACCCAAGATCAAGTTCTGGCAGTGTTCATTTTTTGATGAGAGCTCTCTTCAAGGCTTGCAGATGGCTACCTTCTTGCTGTGTCCTCACATGGTCTTTCATCTGAGTGCTGGGAGAGAGGATAGTGAGCTTTTTGCTCTTCTTTTAAAGGACCCCACCCTTCTGAACCTCATTTAACCTTAATTACTTCCGTAGAGGCCCCATTACCAAATGTAGTCACAGGAGGTTTAGGGTTTCAACATACACATTTTTGGGCACTCAAACATTCAATCCATAATAGGAACCCAGACTCAGCTAGGGACTCTGGGTTCTTTTACACCCAGGGCTGCCCCTCAATAGCTGGGTGATTTCAGGCAATGGATTTAACTGGCCAGTTCCTTCTCCAATAATATATTGGATTAATGTAATACCCTGTCTACCTCATAAGGTTGTTGTAACTACTTAGTACAATAATGTGTTTAATAATTTACAATAATATATAATTATTTAATAATATATTTAACTGTAAGTAATTACATAAAGAGCTCTATATATGTGAGAGATGATGCCAATCATTAATTCTCCAAATAAAGTCCATCCTGACAATAATAAAAGGTTTATTAAAATTGGAGAAGTTAACAAACATGGTATCATTCTCCAGAGCACTAGGGCTTTTCTTATACAGAAGTATGGTTTCAGATAGCCTCACAATTATTCTCTAATATATTTTCTTGTCACTTGGGCTTAGGGACTAATATAAAATATATAGATTCACTTTGATTTCTGATCAAAGAAAAGCTTAATTTAGGTGAAAGTGTTAATTGAATACTATTAAATTACCAGTTCTAGAGTATAAAAAAAGATCGCTTACTGGGACGCTTGGGTGGCTCAGTTGGTTAAGCGGTTGCCTTCGGCTCGGGTCATGATCCCAGTGTCCTGGGATCGAGTCCCATATCGGGCTCCTTGCTCTGCAGGGAGCCTGCTTCTCCCTCTGCCTCTACCTGCCTCTCTGCCTATTTGTGATCTCTGTCTCTCTCTCACATAAAGAAATAAATATATATGTATGCTTAAAAAAAAAATCGCTTACTAACTAGAGCTGAGAAAGAACTTTTATTCCATAAATGTGATACCCATTGTACATCAAGAATATGGTATTTTAGTTATAACTTTAAAAATTGAATTAAAGTGGCTCTTTGCTGTTATGATGGCAAAACCTCTATTTCCCCTTATGTAAAAGAGGAAAAATAATACCTACCTATTCCACAGGCGTTTTGTGAGAACAAATGAGAGAAATGTGAAAGCACCTTGAGCCCTTTGAAGGAAAGGCACTCTAGGATTCTGAGATTTTAATTGAATGCCCTGTAGTGTAGAGTCCTTATCAACACATTTATAAAGTGCTGGCATAAAATTTTCAGTCTTAGTTTGAAGTGCTAGTCTAGTTATGTGAAAATTACTTTGTTAGGTGAATGTTTAGAATGAATCTTTATTTTTTTAAAAAATAGAATTGGTGGATATTTTTTGAACCTTTTAAGTGCCTGTGTTTTGAGATGTTAATCAGGTGTTAATTTCCTTAAAGGACCCCCCAATTTTAAATGATAACTAAGCAAATGCAAGAATGTTAAAAAGTTGTTAACAAGTTTTTATAAGGCCTTTGTCACAAATGTGGTTAGTAGATGTAAGATGTTACAACCTTTATCTTAACATTCTGAGATTAAGAAAGTTTTGCCCTCTCTTTAGACCTATTTTAAATGCATACAGCCTTTGTATGATAGTAAGAAATCTTTTCAGTTTATCTTCTAGTGAACCCTATTTCCATTTATATTTAGAGAGGGTTTCACCAGCACCTCCCTCTGCGTAAACATACGAACTAGCGTGCAGAAGAGGCATGATAACGGACAACTATTTACTACTTGATTTTGCTAATTCTTATATATACTATCCCTGTTGTGAGTGACTCCTCTGTGGAAAAAAAACAGATGCTGTCTTTTATAGATTACTGCAAGGTTTTTTGTTGTTTTTGTTGGTTTTTTTTTTTGGGTGGGGCAGGGGAGAAGTAAAACAAGATCCTTTATTTAGACAGCATGAACTTATTGCCGCCCAACTAGTGTTGTCCTGGGTTTGGAATGGCCCCGGAAACTTTATTTCTTAGTTACACTGATTATTCAGCAGTGCTGTAGAATTCACACAAGTGTTTTGCTTAGTTAAATTAACTTGTTATACAAAACATTTTCTGTTCCTGGGTCCAATAATACCAACTTTTCATCTTGTCTCAAATTTGGAAACTTACTTGGGAACCTTTATAAATAATTACATTGGCTGTTAGTTGGAAGACTGTTTAGACATAGACTAGAAAGTTATGAGACCTTTATTTTATGAATTTTGATACTGCATTTTTATGATTTTGAAGTTATTTTTATAGATCTTATATTTGTTCTGGGATACTCCTCTTCTCCCCAGAGAAGGAATTCAGATAAACTTTGTTTAAAGTTAATGCAGATTTTCTGGTAACTTCAATAAGAATAAATTTAATAAGAATAAATTGTGTATATTTAATAATTTAATAAGAATAAATCGTGTATATTTCAGATGTATGAATCAATTGTTTTAGGCCGTTTTTTCTTTTGGGGCTTATCACAGCTATAGTCTGTTTCATGAAATCTTAGTAGTTTTCCAAGGAAAAGTTGTTTGTCATTCTATTTTCAAATCACTCTTGTCGGGAAGACTTGTAATAGATTTTTGGTGATTAAGACCTTCTGATGTGAAAACTTTCCTCTTTTAGATTTGTTTATAAATTTTTAGGCTATTTTTGGAAGAAAATACTAATTGTCATTTTTTTCTCTCACAGCTTCATATCCTCCAATTCAGCCTCATCCTCTAATAAAACATCAGCAGATTCCTCTTCATTCACCACCTCCCAAGGTTTCCCATCATCAGCTGATATTACAGCAGCAGCAACAGCAAATTCAGCCAATCACACTTCAAAATCCAACTCAAGACCCACCCCCATCCCAGCACTGTATGCCACTCCAAAACCATGGCCTTCCTCCAGCTCCTAGTAATGCCCAGTCACAGCATTGTTCGCCAATTCAGAGCCATCCCCCTCCTTTAACAATGTCTCCTAGCCAGTCACAGTCAGCACAGCAGTCTGTAGTGGTGTCTCCCCCGCCGCCTCATTCTCCAAGTCAGTCTCCTACTATAATTATCCATCCACAGGCCCTTATTCAGCCACATTCTCTTGTGTCCTCGGCTCTCCAGCCAGGGCCAAACCTGCAGCAGTCCACTGCTAATCAGGTGCAGCCTACAGCACAGCTGAATCTTCCATCCCATCTTCCACTTCCAGCTTCCCCTGTTGTGCACATTGGCCCAGTTCAGCAGTCCGCTTTGGTGTCCCCAGGTCAGCAGATTGTGTCTCCAGCATCACACCAGCAGTATTCAACCCTGCAGTCCTCTCCAATCCCAATTGCAACCCCTCCGCAGATGTCGGCATCTCCTCCAGCTCAGATTCCACCACTGCCCTTGCAGTCTATGCAGTCTTTACAAGTGCAGCCTGAAATTCTATCCCAGGGCCAGGTTTTGGTGCAGAATGCTTTGGTGTCGGAAGAGGAGCTTCCAGCTGCAGAAGCTTTGGTCCAGTTGCCATTTCAGACTCTTCCTCCTCCACAGACTGTTGCGGTAAACCTACAAGTACAACCACCAGCACCTGTTGATCCACCAGTGGTAAGCCCTTGGAAGCTCTTTGACTTTCTTGCTGAACTGAGAGTAAAAACTATTTTCTCCCACGTTATGTTATATTGCTAGATCTAAATGCCTTTGAATTTAAAAAGCTTGAAATTTCCATCTGTCAGTGTCTGACAAACATGCTGTATGGGCAAAAAAAAAAAAAAATGCCATTTGTTATAGTATGGTTGCATGCTTGATAATTTGTGATGGTTATTAAAGTCCCTCGTTAATTTTATTACTATTTAAACAAATCCATCTGCTATCTTTACAGAGTTGATTTTTTTTCCCCAAGGGAATGCATTTGAACCAGTGTCATCTGCACAAAGTTTTTTCTCTTAAGGTGATTATCCTTCATAGATCCCTTCTGTTGGCTTGTATGTTCTTAAACGTATGGTTTATCTACCTAACCTTTTTGGTTGTGTGCATTCTGAAGTCCTGGGCCTTTATGGGCTTTGGTTTCAAGGTGGAGGTATGCTTGTATGATGTAATTTTGGGGTAAAATTATATTGTGTAATTAAATTTTGTAGAAAAGACATTTACTCCAGGAGAGAATGCAGCTTTGCGAAACATCAGTAGCAAGAATTATTAAATCAGACAGGTGGTCTAGGAGGGCAAGTTGGGCATCTGGGCCCAGAGGCACCAGCAGTGGGGTGTTCGTGGGCGCAGTCACCAAGGTACAATTTGGTATTGTTCCTGTCTGCAGAGGTGCATTTGGCTCTGTGGTCTGCCCTGAGATTCTGTGAATTTCCTTTAAAAAATTTTATTTTTCTACTTACATTAGCTAAAATGGATTCCATTGTTTGTCATTGAGACTCTCTCTGATAAGTCCTTTAAATAACACTGAAGAGGGGCGCCTGGGTGGCTCAGTGGGTTAAAGCCTCTGCCTTCGGCTCAGGTCATGATCCCAGGGTGCTGGGATCGAGCCCCGCATCGCATCGGGCTCTCTGCTCCGCAGGGAGCCTGCTTCCTCCCCTCTCTCTGCCTGCCTCTCTGCCTACTTGTGATCTCTGTCAAATAAATAAATAAAATCTTAAAAAAAAAATCTTAAAAAAAAAATTGTCTAAAAGACTTTTCAAATTTGTAAAATAATTTATAATAAAAATTGAAATAAGGTCTCTAAATGTCTAGGCAGAATGCTCAAATTAATAATGAATTTATAATTGAGGAAAATAGTCTTCCCAAAGAAGGTTTCATATCAGATTTCACTGAAAAGATTTTATCACTTAAAATTAATAATCATTAATTCAGAAAGGAAAGGAGTTTCAAAGTCTCTTCCTTAGTGGGAAACATTTTAGTTTTCAGGATGCAAATTTATAGATTCTTTATTCTTATCATCCCCATTTATGTTAATAGTCATAAAAATAAAGAAATAGGCATAAAGAAAGACTTCCACTTCTAATTTACCTTTATTAAAAACAGCTCAATAGGAACAATAGGCATCTAGAAAAAAGTTTGTCATTCATTTCTCATGTATCTTTTTTTAGATTTTTGAAGAATTTACGAGTATTTTAATATAAAACATAGGCTCCCAAGTATACAGTAATTTCTAAGAAATTTTAAATTTATATTCTTTCTAGCTCAGTGATTTGGGTTTTAATAAGTAAAAAGTAAAATTTCTTAGTATGCCTTCTAATTTTCTAATTATTTTTATTAGGGGAAACTTTGGAGGAACATATTTGGGATAGGAATACCAACATAATAAGACATTAAAGCTAAAAAATTTGAGGTCTTGGTAGTTCTTGCTGTCTTCTTTTAAAAACTATTTAAAAAAAAAATCTAGATTTTTCTCATTTTTGGAAGTTTTTGTTTTCCCTCACGAAAGAGTAACTTATGCTGTTGTCACTGGTGTGCTCATACTTGCTATGGATGTTCCTATGTTATTTTTCTTACCTTTTATGTTTCTTTTAGTACCATACCCTATTTATTAAGTTACTCTGTTTTTCTTTCATTGCCTTTGATCTTTTTTTTTTTTTATCAAATCATGTTTCTTCATGAATTATGTATCTCTTCACAGTTACCTGGTTGTTTCAAACATTTAAAGATAATATTTATTTACTTCTTAAGAGATGTGAAATTTTAAAAGATTAAGTGTGAATTGTCAAAGTAAAAGTGTATTTTTTAAAAAATATATTTATAAAAGATACATTTATAAAACTAAGATTTTTCGGGCGCCTGGGTGGCTCAGTGGGTTAAGCCGCTGCCTTCGGCTCAGGTCATGATCTCAGGGTCCTGGGATCGAGTCCCGCATCGGGCTCTCTGCTCAGCAGGGAGCCTGCTTCTCTCTCTCTCTGCCTGCCTCTTTGTCTACTTGTGATCTCTCTCTGTCAAATAAATAAAATCTTTAAAAAAAAAAAAAACTAAGATTTTTCATTGACATTTGTGTATGATAAGATATGTGAGAGTAGATAATTTAGAACTAGTAAATGTTCTACAGTTTATTTAGGAAAGGAAGACAGATGGGACTAATGTATTTTATTGAGGTAAGTTTGGCACTCATTGCTGGTTTTAGAATAGTTGTTGTTGTGAGCTAAACAGAAATTGTGTTGTGCAGTCTTCTAATGATCTTGTGAGTAAAACCTCCATTTCTTTGCTTTATTCAATAGTTGAGTTGTTGCACTTGGATTTTTTTATGCTCATGGTGCCAGATGTCTGTGACAGATGTTGTTGCCTACTTCTTTTATTAACCTATTTTGCCTTTACATAGCAGATTTGGAAGAAAGTATATATAGTTAGGCTTACCTATAAAGAATGACAAATATTTTATAATATTCTTTGATGGATTATTTCAGTATGTGCTGTTTATGTTATGACTCTTATCCTTTAAAACTCTTAAATTATTTTTTAAAACAGAGTTTTTAAACTCAAAAATCAAACTTAGATTCCTTAAAAGTTACTGTAGTATGTTTTAAAAATTTCTGACAACATTAATATTAAAGAGAGAATTTCAACATTTTAAGAAAAGATAATATCTAATAAAGGAATGTTACACAGATAAAATTGAACTGGTTGATAAAACCATACTTGTCTAATTACCTCTGAATCAACATCCCTACCACTGCCAAGTTAAGGTAATCCCGACAGCAGTTGCTCCTCAGTAGAAGATTTTATTGTTTTTTCCTTTAACCCCCTGACATTTCTTTTGGATGACTTTCCTTGTATTGGACATTATTGTCATTAAAAGAAATTATCATTGTACTGTATAATAATAAGCAGCTGTTTTTACTTCTGAGCATCCAGACATGAGGCAGGGAATCTCTTGGTGAAACAGGTTTCCAGGTACAGGGTTGGCAGCAAATAACTTAAAAATGTAGTCTACTTTGTTGAATCAGATCACAGTTCTGGATATTATAATTGGTATAAGATTATCAGTAACTGGAAGATTCTTAAACTTTTTTTTTTTTTTTAGGATTTCTAAATTTTTAAACAAAGGAAAAGATATGTTTTTCTTTTTAAGATGTTTTATTCTTTTTTTTTTTTTTAAGATTTTATTTATTTAGTTGAGAGAGACAGACAGCAAAAGAGAGCAGGACAGGGAGGAGAGGGAGAACCAGGCTCCCTGCTGAGCGGGGAGCACATTGTGAGACTCGATGTTAGAACGCTGGGATCATGACCTGAGATGAAGGCAGATGCTTAACTGACTGAGCCACCCAGGCGTCCTGAGATATTTATTCTTAATAGAGGCTTGGAAAATTAGTTTTTTTTTTTTTAAACTCTATCACTGTTGCTAGATTTATTCCTTTGTAGATGAAACTTGATAGTCCTTTTAATAACACATGCTTTATGCTGGTTTTAATAATTTTAACCATTTTTGTATTTAACTTTATATATTTCAAATCACCAGACCTTTTCAGTAGTTTGATTAAAAATACATGTAATATTAGATATCACAAAGTTTTTTGTGAATGTTGAGAGATTCTTGTTTCAATGTTTATTAGAAATATTAATCAGTTTAGGTAAGTAATCTTAAAAACTCAGGACCTTCGTAAATTTAAGTAATAAGCTTTGTATATAAAAGAAAGGAAAGGAACTGCTTTGTGGCTTTGTTTTTAGTAGCCTGTCATTTTTCAAAAATAATGGTTAAGTGTGATGACAAAATAGTCTAAAAGTGGCCTTGGGAAACAGTCTTAAGTTTAATGAATAATTAATAAGTTATATTAAGTTACATAGTACCTTCTTGGATTGAGTCCATGTTTTCTTCTTACAGTGTGCTCTTTAGCATTAGATAACAAGGTTGTTAAGTTAAAAACTTAAAAACTTTATAAGGAACAGTATTAAAGAACTAAAAATAATATGTTAAATGGCTTATTAGGAGGGGTGTGTGTGTGTGTGTGTGTGTGTGTGTATGTATGTATATTATTTCAAGGACATATATTTTCTGTTTACCTGGTACTAGCTTATAAAACTTCATTAGATTCTTGAGTAGATCAGAAAATTAAAGATATAATTGCATACCTTTTTTGTATGTTTTCAGATATTTTCATAATTTAATCTTCAGTTCACATGAATATAATAAAGAAGAGCCTGGGGTATCATCCTTTAAACAGTTCCTGATATATGTCATTTTGGAGATTTACGTAGTGGGCTTGTGAAAAATACTAGTATTTATTTTGACTTATGACAGTTGAAGTTAATAGAAACAACAGTAAATTCCCTAAATAGTTATTTGAATGTATAAAGTCAAAACTTTTTTTTAATTCTCAAAATTAAAAATATGCTCTGATTTGACTTTCACCTTTTTGAAACTTTAGTACTTTGTATCTTAGATACTGATCCACAGCTTTCTTTTAGTGAAATATTGTCAAGCATTATGAAAAGCCTCATTTAGGCTGTTTTAAAGTTTTCCTTTCAGTCTGTCAAATAATCATTCTGTCTTTTTAAAATTTAAAACACTTAAAGTTTATTTTTTTTTTTTTCAGTTAAGTTAGAAACACCTTAGTAAGTGTATTTTTAGAAACATTTTAAGGTCGTGGGGTTTGTCATTGCAGGTTTATCAAGTAGAAGATGTGTGTGAAGAAGAAATGCCTGAAGAGTCAGATGAATGTGTCCGGATGGACAGAACCCCACCACCACCCACACTGTCTCCAGCAGCTATAACTGTGGGGAGAGAAGATTTGACTTCTGAACATCCTTTGTTAGGTAAGGAAATACCTAAATTTTGGACAATTTTCTATTAGGTAAATGTTAATAATAAAGTTTAGTAAACTTAATGAAGTTTAATAACTGGAAATAGTATTAAGCTATTGTGTAATTACAGCAAAATACAGATAGAATTCAAGATTTTTTTTAAAATGAGGAACAGTTAAAACAGTTAATGAGGAACCACCCAAATAAAAAACATTCTGTAGCATTCTAATTTTTGGAAGTTTGCACAGATATATTTTATATACCCATTCAGATTCATGTGTCAAGCTATTGTTTAAAAATTAGAATAAGTTAGAATAATTCATTAAAATTAGAATAAATCAGAGTACTATTAAAAGATTCCAGTTATGCTTTCCAGAAATCACAAAGCATTCTGAGTCATATCTGACATTCCTCATAATTGCTTATGATCCAGGCTGAGTCTGTTTTTAAAAGTCTTCACTTCTTTCCTAGACAGTTCTTAAATTAAACCTCACTAATTTTCACTAGAGACATGGATTAAAAAATTCTTGGCCTTAAGCATTTAAATTTTTATTCATTACTTTAGTGCTACTCATGCTGTGTGCTCCTCACAATGTTAAAGTGACTGTGAATCCTAGGTGTTTTACTAAAACATTAGTATGACCTAGAGCCCAGTGTCTAGGTCCTAAAAAAGACAATAGTCCATGTTAGATTTTTATTTTTATTTATTTAATAAGAACTTTTCTTTCTTTTTTTTTTTCCCCTTTAAATGTGGGGCTTGAACTCATGACCCCGAGATCAAGAGCTGCATGCTCTACTATCAAATTCTTTAAAAATTTATGAATAATTTATTTAGATTGGGGATGGCAAACTATAGCTCATGCTTTAAATCTTTCCTGCTGCCTGTTTTTGCATGGCCCATGAGCTGAGGATGGTTTTAAAATTTTTAAATGGTTGAAAAAAAATCAAAAGAAAAGTAATATTTTATGCCACGTGAAAATCATGCTGAATTCAAATTTCATTGTCCATAAAAACATTCTGTATAACACAGCTGCCTTTACGTATTCGAATATTGTCTTTACTTTTGCATTACTGTGGCAAAGAGTAGTTGCAGAGCCCATATAGCTCTTCATAGAAAGTTTGCTGACCCTTGACCCAGATAATCCTAACCTTGATTCAGTCTTGCTTGTAAGTATTTCGTTTTCCTGAACTCCTCATGGCCCTTGTGATTATTTACAGTAAACAAGAACCACCATCACCTAACTGCAAACAAACTGTAACAGGACATTGACTTTGCTACCAAAGATACCCTTGCCCTCTCTCTTTTTTTTTCAAGTGTGCCAGTGCTCTCACCCTTCCCTTCTCTCTGATTTCCTTCTTTATTATCAGTGCGAATCTCTGGAAAGCACAGAAGGGGGAAAATCAGTTTTCTTCCAATATTTTCTCCCTGCTGAGAAATAGAAAATGTTTAGTCAGTAAAATGATATAAAATGTTTAAGACAAGTTTAATACTATTGCCTGTGTTTATTCATAGTAATACCACAAAAGATAGATTTAGGAAAATCTATAGTATTAAATCTCTGTAGTTTCTCTGAACTGAAAATGGATTTAATGTTGCTGCAGATTGCCTGGAGTTTGATTTAAAGGCAGGAATAAAAGTTTAATTAGATACTAACCTTGCATTGTGAGCGTGATTTAATTACCTAAAAAGCATTATTAATGGTAACACAAAGAAAATTTAAACACTTCTGAAATATTGGAACACAAAGACATCTTCATATTTTTTTCCTCAAGAATTCAGGGCAAGATCCTGTCAAGCAAATCCCTCTGGCTAAATTGTCTGAGTACAATGTAGACTTCTGAATGTTCCTGTAATTTACTTCATACTTACTACAGTGTGTATGAGGGGAAAAGCAAGCACAAATTGACTTTTAGAATAACTTTCATTAAATCATGAAATAAACTGACTTGCAAAAATAGAGGAATTTATTTCCATCCAGTATTCAGTTTTTATAAATCTTTAAAAATTTTTTAGAAGTGAAAAGCATCCATAAAAAAAGGTGGAAAAAGCTCATAGATCTTGCTTAGAAAATGAGACTGTGAATAGGCAGAGTTCTGTCAGTTGTGTTTTCTCTCCCAGTTATCTTAAATCTAGAGAGTGTAATAATTGTGTTTTTGTTCTGCTGTAATACATCAGTGTTTGTCATATGTTTTATTTTAACAGCTGATTATACACTGGCAAGTAACAGCTCTTAGCTTATTCAAAAAGTTAGTAACTTACAGCTCTAGTTTTAACAACACTTAGGATGTTAGAAGATGGGCGCATAAGCAGTATCTTTTATTTATTTATTTATTTGACAGAGGGACAGAGGGAGGGCACAGTTGCGGGGAGGGCCTGAGGGAGAGGGAATCTCAAGCAGATTCTGTTGAGCTGGGAGCCTGACATGGGGCTCAGTGTCACAACCCTGAGATCATGATCTGAGCCAAAACCAAGAGTCAAATGCTTAACAGATTGAGCCACCCAGGTGCCCTAAGGTGGCTTTTACTTCTAAAATAACAAAGTATCTATAAATCTGTAAGGGGCATTAAAATTTTATCTTATTTTTCAGTATCCCATAGATTTATATTTTCCTTCAAACAGACAAAAATACCTTTCAGTCCCACGTTAGAGTTTTATAATTTTTATCCCTTTTCCTCTAGGAGTAAATGTGAAAATTTGGTATGTAGGATAGGATTTTCCTGGAGTTCTCCAGTTTGGTAAAGCAGGTGTACAATACTGTGTTTGTTCCCCAAATCAGCAAACTAGCATTTTCTGTTGACTTTCTTGTTTAGTTTTTAATAAGGGATTGTGTAATTTTAAACTGTTTTTCCAGTGTAAATTACCTTGGTGGATTATTTGATATGGCATTAATAAATGCCATATAATAGTGCTGTGATAAGCTATATTATGATATTAATCACAGTTTCTGAGTGTAAATTGTTAGAGGTTTTCCATTTCTGAGATTATACAGATGATCAGTACACTATTTTCTTAGCTGAAATTTTATTCTTTAGGGATTCCTATTCTCTACCCAACTGGGCTGTATTTTGAGCATCTTTGATAGTGGTGTTAACCCTTTTCTTACTAGTGGAGAGGAGTTACCCCAGCAGTTAAGGACCCCTTGGGTTAGTATCCCAGCTCCATTACATAATTAGTTGTGTGCCCTTGGGTAAGTTACTTTCTTTTTCTGTTTCCACACTATGAAATGGAGATAACAACAGTACCTACTCTTGGGCTAGTTTTGAGAGTTAAATGAGTTACAGGATGTGAGGCATTTACACAGTACCTGGCATGTAAGTGTTCAGTAAGTTGTAGTATTATCTTGAGACATATGCTGTTTTTTTGTTACTTTTTTTAGACATCTGTAATCACGGATATTTTTAGCTGCCAGCCGGTTCCATCTATCCACTTTAGTACATACAGTCAGTGAAGGTTTGATGCTATCATATGGGTAGGTAAAGTCTGTCATAGGCTGTGGGGTCTCTCTTATTGTGGTCTTTGGAGGTTGAAGGGGAGGGATCACAGTGATCTAACCCGATATTTTGCAGTTGCCTGATATTAAAGTGCTCCCCCAAACCGACATACACAGTGTCACTGAAGAGTTGTTAAAAAAATTGTGCATGGATTTGGATTAGCCTTACTACATGAAATAAAGATGATGCTGTGTAATCCTGTAAAAATCTCTACTTATTCTGTGGATTTGATGATCCTTTTTTATTTAAGAATACTTTCAGAGTACTTTTCCCCCCATGCATCTGGAATATAGAAACAGGAACATAGGGAATTTAATATTTGTGTAGCTTGAAATTTTTTTTAAAAAGCAACAGTTTTCATAATCATTCTGAAATTGACATTCTGAAACACTTTTCATATCTTACAGGACAGTTCTTTTAACCAGGGTTGGAACAATCACTTTGAGCAAGTTATTCCCTTCTGTAAAGTGGGGATAGTAGTAGCTTCTATCTCATGAGATTAAATGAAAGTTCTTAGAATGGTGTTTTAAAGCACCAGATGTGGACTTTTATTGTTAATAATGTTTATTCTGGAATTTTTTTTCTTGCCGCACAGAATGCTAAAGATAAAAAAAATGACTTTTTGTTTCAGAGCAAGTGGAATTACCTGCTGTGGCATCAGTCAGTGCTTCAGTAATTAAATCTCCATCAGATCCTTCACATGTTTCTGTTCCTCCACCTCCACTCTTACTTCCAGCTGCTACCACAAGGAGTAATAGTACGTCGGTGCCCAGCAGCATTCCCAGTATAGAAAACAAACCTCCACAGGCTATTGTTAAACCACAGATCTTAACCCATGTTATTGAAGGCTTTGTGATTCAGGAGGGATTGGAGCCATTTCCTGTAAGTAGTAAGCAAATTTGTATTTTTTCAATTATTCAAGTGGCATTATCTTTAAATGTAGTATATTTGTTCTTTAATAAAATGCTAATAATTTTATTTCAAAAAAGTTGTCAATCTCTTATTTAGAATTTCTCTATATGTTCTTTATATATTTCTAGAATTTTTATGCTAGCTATATATAAACTAAGGAAAAAATTTCAGGATATTAAGGATATCAATTTTATAATTTTTAGAGAAAGATAATGGGAAGTTTACTCCAGTGAAATAAAATTTTTTCTTTTTTTAAGAGGACTGAAATGACACCTAAAGTACATTATTTTTTTTAAAAATGATGTTTCTTATATAATGCATACTTTGTGAACTTTAACTTGAGTTCATTAAATAATAATTTCCCAATGATCTGATACTTCTGAAGTTACCCAGTTGATGGTTTATAATTAGCAAGTAGATTTTCTCATTCTTAAATCTCAGCCTTCAGTCAAATTTTAAAAATGCCTTAAAATCTTCACTTCACGTTGGAGATGTTATTTCTGTCACCATAAGTCTTATAAGTTGAGACTAGCTGTATATAATTTATATGCTAATATCTAGAGATGAATATTTTTCCATAGAAAATAAATCAAAGAAAAGTGGCCAAAGTCAAAGCCAAAATCTAAGATAAGAAAACAAAATAATTCATTTCAAAGGCATTTTATACCCATTTTTTTTAGATTCATGGGTGGTGAAGATTTTGCATTGTGTTCGTGGGTTGCCTCATCATTTGCTCTTGTATTCAGTTAACTGTGTTTTAAATTTGGATCTCCTATAAGAATTCTGAGAGTGGAGCAATAGTCTTTTTTCCCTGCTCCTCAGGGTTTGGATCTTGACAGTGCTGCATACAATAATCTTTGTTAAGTCACTCAACCTTTATGATCTTAAGTTTTGCTCATCTGGCAAACAGAGATGATACTTGGCTGTGAGGGTTATTGTGAGGATTAGATGTGTGCACGTTGTTCTGTGTAGTTCCTGGCACTTGTACCCAGAGCTTCTATTATTAACAGTGACAGTTACAACTTTTTTTCTGATTACAAAATTAATAATGTATTATTTTAAATGGAAAATATGAGAAATATACAGAGCAGATAATTCCCAGTAACACCACATGTGTATTATTTTATATATATATTTCATATGATCAAGATTATTATATATAGGGGCACCTGGGTGGCTCAGTGGGTTAAGCCTCTGCCTTCGGCTCAGGTCATGATCTCAGGGTCCTGGGATGGAGCCCCGCATCGGGCTCTCTGCTCGTCAGTGAGCCTGCTTCCCCCTCTCTCTGCCTGCCTCTCTGCCTACTTGTGCTCTCTCTCTCTCTCTCTCTCTGTCAAATAAATAAATAAATAAAATCTTTAAAAAAAAAAAAAAGATTATTATATATATAGTTCTGCTTCTGTCACTTAGGATATTTAGAGCTTTTGTTTTTTTGTATGATTAATAGTACTTTGGAAACATTTTGAAAGGTTACATAACACTCCACTTTATGGAAACCATAATTTATGTAATCCTTGCATTATTGTTAGACATTTTAGGTTTCCATATTTAGTAATTTCTTTAGCACGAATTCCTAGAAGTACAGATATTGAATCACATTACATATGTATTCATAAGGCTCATGATATATATTGCCAAATTATTTTCTAGAAAGATTACTTATTTGCAGGGCGCCTGGGTGGCTCAATGGGTTAAACCTCTGCCTTCGGCTCAGGTCATCATCCCAGGGTCCTGGAATCGAGCCCCATGTCGGGTTCTCTGCTCAGCGGGAAGCCTGCTTCCCCCTCTCTGCCTGCCTCTCTGCCTACTTGTGATCTCTGTCTGTCAAACAAATAAATAAAATCTTAAAAAAAAAAAAAAGATTACTTATTTGCTTTATTTTTATTTTTAAAGATTTTATTTTTAAGTAATCTCTACACCCAATGTGGGACTCAAATGCACAACCCCAGGATCAAGAATTACATGCTCTTCTGACAGGGGCTACCAGGTGCTCCTGGGAAGATTATTTAAATACAGTCTCACACCAGAAGTGTAAACTCTTAGCAGCACTGAGTATTACAGTTTCTTCAGTAATACCCTTTGTAAATTTTACTTGAGGTATATTAAATATGCTAACTGAAATGAACAAAATTTAAGAATTCATGGTGGATAATTCTCTGACGTTAAATGTAGAAATTTACAAATTTACAATAAGCTATCGTTCACCATCTGTGTCAGATATTGGAGATTTAACCAGCATTCTTAAAGGAGGTTCTATTTCAAATTTGCTAAAGGTTCACTTGCAAATCAGTAAATATTTTTGGTCTGGATTGTTTTTGCTGAAAACATTTCTAAAATAAGTAGTATTTATGACTTAACCAAGTATATTGAATTATAAGTATTTTGTTACTGATTTTCATGTTAATGTTTGAGGATTTTTCCATTTCTTTTTGTGATTATAATGGATTAGGTTGCTGAACTAGGAGTCAGGAGACCTGAGTTCTAGTCCTGATTCTGCTTTTGTAAAGAAACCACCTAAACACTAACATTAGTTCACTTATCTTTAAAGTACATACAGTAGTGATCTATCTTAAAGAGACAACCCTAGGAGTAAAAAGCTTTGTGCATGAAAAATAAATCTTAAAAGTTCTTGCACGAAGAACATAAGGATACTGGCTAATCAAAATTTATTACAGATTTTTATTATTTATTTATTTATTTAAAAAAATACTTATTTAGTTCAGTGAGAAAGAGAGCATGAGCTAGCATAGGGGTTGGGTGAAACGGGTCAAGGGAGAGGGAGAGAGAGTCGTAGGCAGACTCCATGCTTAGCGTGGAGCCCCAGAGCAGGGCTTGATCTGATCTCATGACCCTGAGATCATGACTTGGGCTGAAACCGAGTCAGATGCCTGACTGTGCCACCCAGGTCCTCCTATTACTGCATTTTAAAGACATTTTAAACTACTTGCCTACACTAGGACACTAGGTTCCATTGACAAGAGACTTTGAAGCAAACGTAGTGCTGATGACTTGAATTACGAACTGTTGATGTCCAGATTGCCTAAAATTTTCTTAAGGAATAAAGCACTTAGTGAATCAGTTCAGCTGATCAGTTGAACAAGTAAATTAGCACAGATACTATCCATTCCAAGAGGTTTTTTAACCAAGTTATTTCTGAAAGTCCTCTTAAAAGATTATTTTTTTCTCTTTTTCTTTTAAAGGTAAGTCGTTCATCTTTGCTAATAGAACAGCCTGTGAAAAAAAGGCCTCTTTTGGATAATCAGGTGATAAATTCTGTATGTGTTCAGCCAGAGCTACAGAATAATACAAAGCATGCAGATAATTCATCTGACACAGAGATGGAAGACATGATTGCTGAAGGTTTGTAGATTTTACTTAAGATACTGTTTAAATTAACTTTGACTTCTACCATTTGAAACAGGATATGGATTTTTATTCTACACATATTTTCATACACTAGGAAGCTATTCACTTTTTATTATTACATAATGCATTATTTAACTGAAGTAAATGAAAAGCTAATCAGACTTTTAATGGCTACATCATTCAAATAGAAAGATTGATGTTTAATTTGCATAATGTCAATTTGACTTTTGAAGGAGTGTGGGAGGGAAAGTTCTACAATGTATGAAAGTAATTTAGAATTTTAGCATCAAAGCAATCAGTTCTCTGTCTTTTTTTCCTAAGCAGAGTTAACTAAGTGTTTTACTGAATTTGCTTAAAAATTTAAAGCTCTTGGGTTGTTTGGTTTTAGACTTTTCTGTATCCTGATGTTTGATGTCAGGTAGGTGTTACAATTGTATTAAGGATCTATTTGTCAATCAAGAGGTGATTAAATTTGTTCAAAGAGGAAAATATCACTAAATCTTAATGTCAGAGATTTCCTATTTTTTTTTTAAAGATTTTATTTATTTATTTGACATAGAGACAGACAGACAGTGAAAGAGGGAATACAAGCAGTGGGGATGGGAAAGGGAGAAGCAGGCTTCCTGCTGAGCTGGGAGCCTTTGGGATCACCACCTGAGCGGAAGGAAGGCAGACGCTTAACTACTGAGCCACTCAGGTGCCTGCAGAGATTCCTTCTTTATAGATGTCAGTATAATAGTGAAATACTCCAGAAAAGTCAGTTGTATACAAAATGACTATAGGAAAACAAACACAAATAAATGCAGAAGTGATACATTTTATTTTTTATTGATTCTGATCATGGCCCTGTAATTGTGATAAAGTTTAGTCAAATAGCATTTAGTGTAACCAGAGGGCTCTACAGTAGTGATTTAATTAATATCTGTCTAAGTAACTATCCTTAATATCTTAGTATATTTCATGTAAAATTAATTTTCACATGTTTATTGAGCATATACTATATATGCCTGGCGAATTAAGCAAAATAGTATGCTTGTAAACAAAATAGTCTTTGCCCATGGTTTTTCTGTTTCTTCAAAGCAAGGCACCTCTGTCATTGTCAGTAAGTTATATACTGTTGAAATGTATTCATCACTGGTTTACCTTTTATTTGAACCGCAAAGAGTATGTTAGTAGTATAAAATTTGTTTTTTACTGCTAACTTATATTGAGATCACTGTGATTTTTTTCACTTTAAAAGAATGTTAACAATGAAAAATTTCAAACATACATAAATTAGAATTCTATAATGACTCCTCGCTCATCCAGACTCAACATTGTTACCCAATTTCAAACATTATTTTTGCAATTCTAGCTTCATCTATCCCTTTTGTTTTCCTCCCTCCATTCCCCCTTCTCTTTCTCTATTGCCTTTCTCTTTATCTTTTCTTCCCTCCTTTCTGTTAAAAAAAAAAAACTCATAGTCCTCATTTCATTTCACTGGTATATAATTCATTGTGCATTTCTAAAAAATGTACATTTTCTTATGTAACTATAATGCTACATCACACAAAGCAATGTTAACAGTAGTTCTTTAGGGTCATCTCGTACCTGGTTCATATTGAGATTTCCTTAATTACATAATTGTATAAATTTTTATAAATATCCTTTTATAGTTATTTTTCAAATCAGTATCTAGACAGTGAATACATTTTGGCTTTTATTATGAACTTAATTTCATTTAATTCCTGAATACTTTGTTTGCATAGTATTTTATCTGAGAAAATGTTTCATTTGAGATGAAGAGTAGTATAGATGAATATGCAGGGTTTTTTTTTTTTTTTCTTTGTTTGGTTGTGGGGAGGGCCAAAGGGAGAAGGAGAGAGAATTTCATGCAGGCTCTATCTCTGGCACGGAGCCTAATTCAAGGCTTGATCTCACAACCCCACGAGCATGACCTGAGCCAAAACCAAGTGTCGGACGCTTAGCTGACTGAGCTACCCAGGTGCCCTGCAGGGATTTTTTTTTTTCCTTGCCTATAACTACAAGAAGTGTATAAATGAAAGTTCTAAGCTAAAAAGCATATATAATATGCCCTATTGTGTGTACACATTGGAGAAAAATGGAGAATTGGTTAGGAAGCTTCACAGCATAGGTCATGATACTCATGGTTTATAATATAATAGACATACAGCCTATGTTAGACTGTGGTTGAACCTGAGAGGAGCTTTTGATCTAGTAGGAACTAGTGAATTTAAGATAACTAAGGAGTAACATGTGGTAAGTTTTAAATGAATTGTATAGATGGTAAGAACTTGGGACCTAAAAACTGATTTTAAAACCAGTTGAGATCAACCATGCTGTGGTTTTAAAACCACGATGAGGTATCACCTCACACCAGTCAGAATGGCTAGTATCAAAAAGACGAGAAATAGCAAGTGTTGGAGAGAATGTGGAGGAAAGGGAGCCCTCATGCACAGTTGATGGCAATATAAATTGGTGTAGCCACTCTGGAGAATAGTATAGTGGTTCCTCAGAAAACTAAAAAAAAATGTACCATATTAATTCCACTTCTGGGTATTTACCCAAAGAAAATGAAAACACGAATTTAAAAAGATATATGTACCCCTATGTTTACTGCAGCATTATTTACAGTAGCCAAGATATGGAAGCAACCTAAGTGTCCATCATCAATAGATGAATGAATAAAGAAGATGTGGTATATATACACAGTGGAGTATTTCTCAGCCATAAAAAAGAATGAAATCTTGCCATCTGTGACAACATGGATGGACCTATAGGGTATTATGCTAAATGAGATAAGCCATACTGAGCAAAACAAATACCCTATGATTTCACTCATATGTGGAATCTAAAAAATAAGACAAGCAAACAAATAACAATAGAAAGAAGCAGACTTATAAATATGGAGAACAAACTGGTGGTTGCCGAAGGAGAGAGGGTGAGAGGATGGGTGAAATTGGTGAAGGAGATTAAAAGGTACAAACTTCCAGTTATAAATAAGTCACAGGGTTGAAAAATGTACAGGATAGAGAATATAGTGACTAATATTGTAATATACTTGTAACAAGTATTTCATAATGAATATAATTGCTGAATGACTACCTTTTGCACCAAAGAGTCATTTTAAATGTTACATGTCAAGTATATTTCAATTTAAAAAAACCTGGTTGATGGAATGTTCTGAATGTGTCTGTTAAATCCATCAGGTCCAGTATGTCATTACTGTCGATTATATCCTTTATGTTTGTTATTAACTGTTTTATGTATTTGGGTGCTCCTTGTTGGGTGCATAAATAATTACAGTTATTATATCTTCTTGTTGAATTGTCCCTTTCATTATAGTGTCCTTTGTCTCTTCTTACAGTCTTTGTTGTAAAGTCTCTTTTATCTGATTGCTGTCCCAGCTTTCTTTTGACATCCATTTGCATCCATTTGCATGATAAATGTTTCTCCATCCCCTCGCTTTCAGTCTACAGCTGTCTTTCTGTCTGACATGAGTCTGTTGTAGGCAGCATATAAATGGGTCTTGTTTTTTATCCACTTTGTCATCCTACGTCTTTTGATTGGAGTGTTTAGTCCAGTTACATTCAAAGTAATTATTAATAGATATGTACTTATTGCCGTTTTGTTACTTGTTTAATGGTTGTTTCTGTAGAACACTTGAAAATAATGCAAACTGGTACAACCACCATGGGAAACTGTATGGAGTTTCCTCAAAAAATTAAAAATAGAACTACTCTATAGTCCAGTAATAGCACTATTAGTTGTTTACCCCCGAAAAACAAAACCACTAATTCAGAAGGATACATGCACCCCTGTGTTTATTGAATTATTATTTACAATAGCCAAACTATGAAAGCAGCCCAAGTGTCCATCAATGGATGAATGGATAAAGAAGATGTAGTATATACATATAATGGAATATTACTCAGCCATAAAAAAGAATGAAATCTTGCCATTATTACAACATGGATAGAGTTAGGGAATATAATGCTGTGTAACATGAGTCAGAGACAGACAGATACCATATGACCTCACTCATGTGGAATTTAAGGACCAAACAAGCAAAGGGAAAAAAGAAAGACCAAGAAACAAACTCTTAACTATAGAGAACAAACTGGCTACCAGAAGGGAGGTAGGTGAAATAATGATGGGGATTAAAGAATATGCTTATTGTAGTGGAAAACAACGACAACAAACCTGGCTTTATTGCCAGTTTGCTGTTTCCTTTAGAGATGGGATTTGACCTGGGTCTTGGATGATAAAACATAGGTAACAAACAGGAAGAACCTTTCAGGTTGGAACGATGAATAAATGTACAAAGGATGTTCACATAACTCTAGGAGGGGACAACGAGGAGTAGACTGTGGGCTTAGAGAAATAGAAGTTAGACTGATAAAATCAGATTCTGGAGTATTTTGGATATTTGACCAAGTTGTTAGGAGTTATCTTGTCAAGAGGATGGTTGCTGAAGATTTTTAGACAGATTAAATGAAAAGAATGTTTTTGGAAGCTGCCGGTAATCTGTAGGATGAACATAGGTTTGGTATGTAATTGATACTTGTAGTTATAGTGGGAAGAGGAAGGAAAGGATGTATGGAAGACAAGGCAAAGGGTAGTTTCACAAGGTAAGTTACCAGAGTAAAGAAAAGGAAGATTTAAAGATGATTAATCTATGCATTGAGTAGTAAATAAGCCATAGAGATCTAATGCATAGTGTAATGAATATAGACAACAGTATTGCTTAGAGACTAAAACTTAAGTATTCCAATCACTAAAAAGAAAGGATAATTATGTAAAGTGATAAAGGGTGATGGAGGTGCTAAATATTGCTACAACAACAAGCATAATATGTAAATGTACCAAATTAACACATTGTACAATTAAATTTGTACAATGTTATAAGGTAAATATAGTAAAAAAAGATTAATCTGTTTCACAGTGGAGCTTTATTTACATAGAGTATGCCAAATTTTTAATACTTCATAATTTCCCAAGGTAATTTTATAAAGTGTTTTTATTACTGTGGGTTTTAGTGTTTAGTTTATGGGAAGTGGTATAGAGTGAAATGGCGAAGTCATTTGTTTACTGTTATTAGTAGTAAATACAGTTTAATTCAATACTTAAAAACTTAGTGTAAGGATTATTCTCTTTTTAAAGGATAGTTTCTATTTCTGTTTGGAGTGGTTCTGTAACTAGTATCTCCAACCAGTAGATTGTGATTTACCAAAATATCTTTTGTCTCCCATGGTAAATCATATTGATAATGATTTCTATCTCATTGCCTCCCTCTTTTGCTTCATACCATTAAGTGACCTCAAGTCTTAAGAAAATTAAAAAGTAACTGCTCCTCCCACACAAAAAATGGGACATCTCTTAGGATATATGTTTGGCCACTCCATTAGAAACCCAGAATAATATTTGATTAAATAAGGTAGAAATTTAATTTTTGCCCAAAGGCAGGCAGGTGTTGAACACCTAAGATGCCAGCAAGTTACAATTCTCTCATCCCTAGAATGTTGCTTTTGTTTCCAAGATAGCTAATTTTCATTTTCACATTCTAATCAGTGAGATGGGAGAAAAGGACACCACCTGGAATTTGCAAGCATTTCCGTTCACATGTCATGGATGGCTACACCTAGGGCAGTAACTAGTTTTTATTTTCAGAGCCCCTATACCTTGCTGAAATTTAGGATTTTGTTACTGTGGGAGAAGAGCGAAGAATGGACATTGGAGAATTACCAGCTGTCTATGCCATAGACTTCCATCTTTATTAGCTAAAGCAACAGTTTTTTTTGTCTCTGTAATTTTTTATTCACAAATGTCAAAAAGTAGCCTTGGTAATACCAAATTTGTTAAAATTCTGACAAACATGAGAACAGGTATTTTTGAATGTTAATGTTCCTCTCTTCATTAGGAGAAATAAAACTGATGTTCATTTTTTGTTATGTTGTCTGTCCTTAGACCATACCTGTTTGGATCTCCCCTCTCTCACCAGCAAAAACACATTCTTCTCCTTTGTAAGGGATTCTAACCTTTCAATATCAAGTATTACATATTGCTACATTAGTGAATACAAGCTTTTTAAATCTTTCAGTATGGTCTGGAAATGGAACAACTTGACTAGATTCTTTGGGGCCAGACTGGTGGCATTGGTGGTGGAGTGAGAGATCCTGTCTCCTGTCAGATCAGGTTACAAGCATGACAAAGTGAAAACAACGCTGGAAGTTATGACATCAGTTCCCGGGAATGTGTTGTTGAGCCGCAGTTGTGTAGAAGCCATTTCTAGGTCATTGGAAGGAGCAATTTTAATTTTACTTGTTTTGAGACTCTTTCTTATTGCTACTCACCAGATGACTTGCTTGTGAAGGTAGTCCTGAAAAAATTTTTTTATAGTGAACTCTTGCTAGTTCATGATTTGATCAGTCATGTTGATATATTTGGATGTCCCTTGGAACTTCAGATATTTCACAGTATGTTTTTTAGTAGTTCTTGTGGTCTTATCTTGACTTAGCACTTTGCTGTTTGCTTCTTCAGTAACACTAGGATAATATGCTTAAATTTTCTGAGTACTTGTCATCCATGTCTACATTTCAGAGTCCCTTTCTTCATCTTTTTTTTTTTTTTTTTTAAGATTTTTATTTATTTGACAGAGACACAGCAAGAGAGGGAACACAAGCAGGGAGCCTGAGAGAGGGAGAAGCAGGCTTCCTGCTGAGCAGGGAACCTGATGCAGGGCTCAATCCCAGGACCCTGGGATCATGACCTGAGCTGAAGGCAGACGCTTAAATACTGAGCCACCCTGGTGCCCTTGTATCTGTATTTTCTACTGTACACTGCAGACCTTTGAAAATGTTCTCTTACATGCTCCTCTAAAATCCAGCATATCAGAAGTTGAGCTTCTTTTTGAAGTCATCCACATTCTGTCCAGTTACAATTAAGTATTCTCTGCTATGTATCTTCATAGCACCATGCACCAAAATTCATATCCTGCACAGTACTTTCTGAGAGCGTTCTTCCTGAAGGTTTTGCCTTATTCATCTTCATTTCTTTTACACTGCACAATAAAGTTATTTGCCCATTTTAAGTATGTTGGATTTTAGCAAGATGAACCTTTAAAAATGCATTGCTTATTTATACAGAGATAACTCCATAAAATGTTTATGGAGGAGTAAGAGGGAATTGGTGGTTGCAGTTGTTTTTGGAGTATTTTCCTTGCCACAGTGGCTATCCATTGAAAAGTTAAAAGACCATTCCTTTAAGTTTCCTGGAAGGACTGAACTAGCTGTATCCAACTGAAGTAGATGCTAAAAGAAAATATGCCACAATTAAATTTTTGGAAGTTTTTTCCTTTGTTTCTTTTTTAGAGACATTAGAAGAAATGGACAGTGAGTTGCTCAAGTGTGAATTTTGTGGGAAGATGGGATATGCTAATGAATTTCTCCGGTCAAAACGATTCTGCACTATGTCCTGTGCCAAAAGGTATTTCTATTCCCTTGACTTTCCTAAAGCGGAAACGAACAACCATTGTAAGAAACCCAAAAAACTTGTAGAGTGTACAAGCAGCCAAAACTAGATACGATAATATAGAGGAAGAATATCAAATAGGCATTATTTGGAGTTACTTTGATATTTAGTTTTTAAATTTTGCTCTGTAAGAGTTATGTATTCATAACACTTACAGTGAGTTTTATAGCATATTCTAACATAGAAGTAGCAATCTCCTGGAAAGAATATGCTTAGGAGAATGTCTCTTGTGAACTAGTCCTTAAGGTATCAAAACAGTATTTGTTTTATCACCTCATTGTTTGATCAGTATGAATATACCAGGATTTAAACTGGTTTTGTTTTGTTTTAAACTATTTTCATTATATTCATATTATGAATATATTCTATTCATTATATGCATGTCTGTTCATATATTACTCCTGTTTATCCTGGGTTTTTAAGTGGGACAGCTGAGGCACAAGTTCCCCACATTGTTAAATCATCAGAGAGCAAAATAGGTCTTTTCTAAATCTATTTTCAATAGTAATTTTAGAGGTAAACCGTATTCATAACTAAAGAAGTGTTCAGTATCTTCCTTGTTTTCATCACATGTTTAGTTTACATTAAAAAAAAACTCTGATTTTGATAATCCTAATACAGGTATTGACCATGGGGGTGAAGTGTATGCACAGGTTATTTTGAAGTTTGTTCTCTGTTCCAGAAAGTGATTATTCTCTTAAAGAATATAAGATCTTAATTGTTTGTATGTAGAATTTTCTTGCATGAACATATTATATTGTATGGTGCCACTACAAGATACTTAGTAAAACTTAAGTTAAAAAAATAATCAGAGTATTTTCCTTCAAAAATGGCTTCATTTGGTTTCTTAGTTAGTTGTCAGTCTTTCATTTACATATTATCTCGTGTTATTGATAGCCCTAACCAAGTTATGTAACTGCTGTTTTAACTTGGGAGTTTTCCAGTTTGCATACACCACAAAAAAGATGAGTGGCTCTCTGATTCTAAGTGATTAAAACTCTGAGGGAAAAGGACGGCCTTTCAGAATATTTTAAATGTTTTGACTGTTAAATATTTTAGAACATTTAACGCTACCATAACTCCTCCCAGAGGTGATTGATTGCTGAGCTGTCAAGTTACTATACCTTTAGGTGAACCTCTTTAGGGGTGAGGGATCCTAATATAAGGGAAATGCAGACGAGAGATTAAGGAGGAATGGGTAAATTAGGTCAGGAAAGAACTGCTATCTACATGTCTGCCTTGGAGATCTAAATATTTAGGGACTAAATACCAAGTGTAGGGTTAGTCTCTATTCTCTGGTCAGTGGGGAAGGACGTTTTGTAGATTGCTGTGACTGGAAATCAGACACCTATAGAGCTGTGCGCACAGACCAGTGTATTGAATGCAGCAGAAGTTTGTTGAGTTGTTTTAGGGTAAAATGAAGTGGCCATTAGGGCACTTAAAAAAAAAGTTTTTAGGGAAAAAAAAATAGCTTATTCATTTTCATAGTACTCCTTACTTCCACCTCCTGATATTGTCGTAAAATATAGATGAGGAAAATTTATTTTGGTATCTGTATATTGGTCCTAGAATAGTTATCAATAGCAAAGTTCATTTGAATTTATTTTTGTCCTTTTCCTGAGAGATCTTCTTAGATTAAGAGTTTTGAATATAAGAAATTACAGTGGCAGTTCTATATGTGTAAAGAAGGAACTATATGTATTTTTCTTTGCCTTTCTTTAGCTTTTCAGAAATTCGTTTCTTAGATTATTTCTTTTCGCTCTTCTTTCTAGGGAAGGGGTTGGCAAACTGTACCCAGGCCAGATCCTTCCTGTAGCCTATTTTTGGATGGTGCCTGAGCTAAGGATGGTTCTTAAATTTTGAGATGGTTGGGAAAAAATGAAAAGAATAATATTTCATAAAACATGAAAATTATGTGAAATTCAAATTTTGGTCTAAGTAAAATTTTATTGCAATACAGCCATGCTCATTCACTATTGTTTATGGCTGCTTTCATGTTAACAGTTGCAGAGTGGAGTAGTTCTGACAGACACTTGTATTGTCCACAAAGCTTAAAATACTTACTGTTTGGCCCTTTGTAGAAAAAGTCTGCCTGCCCTGTTCTAGGCCTTGAAACCCAGTAAACAGCATAGGACTCTTTCAAACTGTCATCATGCCTTATAAAGATCTCTCTTAAAAACTTACTAGTCTGTTTTGATAAAATGAAAATACTCTTTCAGCTAATTTTAAAGAATTAGGTGTATTCGAATTTCGTGAATAGTGAGAACTATGAATTCCTTGTGTAACTCTGAAATCTTAACTTTATAGTATTTTCACTCTTTGATTTCAGTAATATTTGAAAAATCTTTTACTAGCCATTTGAGATTTCCCCTTCTTTACTCTGTTAACTTCTTTATATTAATCTCTCTCCAGAAATGATTACTTGAGAAAACATAAGTGTGAACATCTACATAATTCATATATTTTCTCCTGAACCTTGAATTATTTTGCAAAAAATCGGTTATCCTCTGTATTTTTCATGAGGTTTCCTGGTATCATACTGTTAATAGAAGAAAATATCAGTACCTTGTTATAGGTATCCAGTAATGTATTGAGAGCTATATTATTGAAATATATAGCCATTTTTTGACTGTCAGCATAAGTAAATCTATTGAACACTATGGTTTACTTTCTGAGGTATTACAGTCCTTAATGAAGTATTTGGCACTTACTGATTCACAAGTGCACTTTAAAGTCATAATTAAATACTAAATGGGGTGTTCCATCTATCACTTAATATTTTTTCTTACTTGAATTTCTTAGGTACAATGTTAGCTGTTCTAAAAAATTTGCACTTAGTCGTTGGAATCGTAAGCCTGATAATCAAAGTCTTGGGCATCGTGGCCGTCGTCCAAGTGGCCCTGATGGGGCAGCAAGAGAACATATCCTTAGGCAGGTCTGTAGAAACCTTGCTTCAATGTACTATACCCTTTTCCGAAATGCAAGGAAAGTGCAATGCTGTATTTTACTTGTACTACATTTTCCAGCTTCCAATTACTTATCCATCTGCAGAAGAAGACTTGGCTTCTCATGAAGATTCTGTTCCATCTGCTATGACAACACGCCTGCGCAGGCAGAGTGAGCGGGAAAGAGAACGTGAGCTTCGGGATGTGAGAATGAGGAAAATGCCTGAGAACAGTGACTTGCTACCAGTTGCACAAACAGAGCCATCTATCTGGACAGTTGATGATGTCTGGGCCTTCATCCACTCTTTGCCTGGTATGTAATTCACCACTTGGGCCTTGTATCTTTCTTGTGCATTCCCACACAGGAATGATGTTAGATCCATCCGCACCTATTGCACAAGAGGGCTACAGAAGTACTATGTATATATATTAATTGAATGGCATTTGCTATTGAAATATGATCTGTTTCCTCTTGCTTATTCCCTCAGCACAACTGGGTATTTTCTCATACCCCCCAAGTCGATAAAAACTGACTAGTCCTGCTTCTGCTGTGACACCTCAGCCGGTGAAGATCTTAAAGGTGCTCTCTTCTCTTCAGTCTGATTTCTCTCGAGAGGTCAGTAGAGAGATTGAGTCAGACGCTTCTTCCCTTCTGCTCTTCTATTTTTCTATTCTATTTCTTCTTTATTTCCTAATTTAACCTTTTAAAAATAAAATAAGAGAGACTATATATATATTTTTTTTAATTTTTGAAAGCTAATCAAGACCTTTTAGAATATGATAACATTTTGGTTTCTTTTTTTAAAACTCAAGCTGGTTCTTTTAAAGGGAGCTGCATTCCTTGATTCTTTTCAATAAGTAGACATCAAGAACCCTTCTAAAATTTGATTTTTAAGTAGACAACTAAGATCCAGTTATGATATTCCATTCCAATATTGAGGGTAACTTTCTTATTTATGTTTTACTGCTCTCTCATTTTGGTACTCTTTCCATCAGCTTAATTCTTTATGTTCTTTATCTTTTTTCTTTAATGCAGTAGTCTTTTATATCTCCTTTGTCCAAGGGGCTGGTTACTAAAGATAACTGCACCATTGCTCATGATGAGACCCACACTGATTATGTATGTTAAGACTATATTTTTTTTAAATCAGCAAATCTTACTCATTTTGACCTTATGAATGTGGAAAACAAGATGTTTGCTCCATTTTGATTTTATTGTGAATCACACTATTCTCTTGATACAGTATATCCCTTTGAACTTTACAGACTTACTAAAATTAATCCAGCTATTTTTGCTGATGAATCTTTCAGTGAAGATAACTATTCTCTCAGAAGCAAACTTACAGTTAATGTGATGAGTAAAGAAAGACTATTAACTGCTTTTAAAAAAAACCTATCTGCCATTTTACCTTATATAAACAGAATTCTATGACAAATTATTTTTTCAGTAGCTTGTTTCAGAAATGCTCATTTTTTTTTTTTAACAAGATATGGTCACTTTTAAAGAAAGATTACAGTTGTTTAAAGAGAGGATACATTTTTCATGGAAGATTTTTAAATACGCACCTTTGGAAACTTAGGTGTGAAGTTAAGTGCTAACCATAGGTTTTGAATCTGCTTTAAAACCGATATATTAGAAGATGATGAGTCTTCACTGGTTGTGGTTTTAATATTTAATGACATAAATTTTAGTTTTTAGACCAGTCTAGATATCTTGAGAATTAACACTGGAATCTCTAATGATTCCTTGGGATTGGACTTTGATTCTGTTATCTTCAGAAGTAGTCTCACTCTTCTACCTGGGGTGTGTGAGCTGTTAGCTCAATTTCTCCTTTGGGGATACTGTTTACTTTCCTTTGGGGAGGAGCGTTGGTTCATATCCTGAGGAAAGTGATTGGTCAAATAATTACCAAATAATAGGTATCTGATTCTTCTGTCATTTCATATGCATTTTTTTAGGGCTAATTTTCTAACTTTCCCCAATATCCATTTGCTAGGAGGTTACTCTTGGCTGCTGTATTAGAACAAAGGCTGAACTCCTTTGTCTCATTCTTGCTTCATTTCAGTTAAAAAAAAAACCATGATTGCTTATATTTGAGATGCTTATCATAGTTCATCAAGATACAATTTTGTTGCCAGTTGTTTAGAGAACATGACTTACCGTTAAAGAGAAACTGCTTTATGAAATTTAGAATTGCTTGGTGCTAAGAGTCTCCTTTCCTTTAACTGATTAAATGGGAGTACTTCCAAACTCCTTTGACAGGCTAAAATAACAGGCTTATTTGTGTGATCAGTTATATCTTCTTTCTGAGTGTTTCTCTCTGAATAATCCCTGTGGCCTAAAGTAAATCTTGTATCAGAAAATGCTTTTGTCTTCATTTCTCTATGCTCCTCTGGCCTTTATAAACATCTTTTGAGCCTCTTTCAGGCTCATTTGGGTCTGTGTTGTTTTTCTTCCCCCAAGTAGTCTGCTTTCAACCTTTTCTCATAGAATGAACAAGCTTATATATTTTGTAATCTCATGTATTTTCTTTGTTTCCAGCTGAGACAGGCATCCCTCTTTCATCAGGGCACCTATATTTATTTACAGAGTGTTTTTTTTTGTATAATGTCATCTTATGAACCATCCTTCCAGGACCATATTAGAGCTGTATGCTGTGTTATCCAATCTCAGAGTTGCTACCACAGTGAAAAATTACATTCTTCTGGGGGTGCCTCGGTAGCTCAGTCAGTTGAGTGTCTGACTCTTGGTTTTGGCTCAAGTTGTGATCTCAGGGTCTTGAGATTGAAGCCTGCTTAAGATTCTGTCTTCTCTCTGTCCAACCCCCTACCCCAACGTGTGCATGCTCTCTCTCTAAATTAAAAAATATATATATTTTCTTCTAACTTTTGTGCGTTAAAAGGTTCTCTATGGGAATGATTATTCTCAATTAACTGCAGTTACCTTCTTAACTCGTTACAGTGCAAAGGTCAGTTTATTCTGTACTTACTAATTTGTGAATCTGTAGTAGATCTGGTTTCTCTGTAGGCATATAAAATAGGAATTCACCTAAAAACATATGACTGTTGGTTTTCATAATACTCATATTAGGACTTGTTTCTTATGTAATATTAAGTGGCAAGTGATATATTTTCACCAGCCTTACTGAGATCATTTCTGTGCAGAGTGTTTGGTTTTGGGTTTGGCTGGAAAAATGACTGGACATTGCGAAATTCATTTGGGGCTCATCCAGTTGCTGAGGTCTGTGCCCATCTGGATAGCTGCTTCTGGTGACATAAAACCAGCAATGCTGACTGGTTGCTGCAGTTGGGATATGTTTTGTACGAGTCCCTGGGGCACCGTCATTTTAGAGAAATAGATTCTAATGTCAGAAACTCATTGAATTTCTAGCTTAGTATACCTTGAGCATCTAAATATTTTTTGAAAATTCATTTTTCTTTAATGAGTTTCAGAAAAATAATTGCTTTTGCCCCCCTCCCCTTTTTAAAGATTTTATTTATTTATTTGACAGACAGAGATCACAAGTAGGCAGAGAGGCAGGCAGTGGGGGGTGGGGAGCAGGTTCCCCGCGGAGCAGAGAACCCGATGTGGGGCTCAATCCCAGGACCCTGGGATCACGACTCAAGCCAAAGGCAGAGGCTTTAACCCACTGAGCCACCCAGGTGCTCCTCCGCTTTTCTTTTTAAAGTAATTTTATTTTTTCATTTCTATACTAATGTATAGTATAACTAATCTTTGTTGTGGTTGGCTTATGGAAGTTGTGATCTAAAATTCTGAATATAATGCGTTCCTCCACGATCATGCTGTTTCCCGAAACATTTTTTGTTCTTTATCATTTTACTAATACATTTACTTATCACAAGAAGACATTTGAAGAGGGATCTCCCAGTACAGAGGAACAACAGATGCGATATATTTCCTTAGGGAAAACTCCTTGTTTCTATTCCCAAATGTAGCTCTTAACAGTCCTCATTACTTCTCATTGCTCCTGTTTTCTGAATCTAAGTAAGTCCCGCCCTGTCTTTCTCTCTCTTCTTTTCTTTCCTGTGTTCTTGTAAATAAGACTGAAGAGAGAAGAACATTAGTTCTTTCATAAAAAGAAGGATGAAGTCACAACTAGATGCAAGATTAGTCAGTTTTGTCTGCCCAGTTTTGAGAGCTACCTCTGGGAAAAGAAAGGGAGCTTTTCTATGGTGAGTAATCCCATTTTAACTGTATAATTTCTTTTATATGGTAAATGGGCAAAAACCATAACATTCTGCTTAGGGTACTTTTGAAGTGTCAGTTTTTAAGTCTGGAAATTAAAATAGAGAAGTTGAAAAGCTGGTTACTATATGAAACAGTAAAGAAACAACTAACAGAGAAGATAGGAAAAGAAATAACCAAGAGAAAAGAGGGCCATATAGCTGAATACAGAAGAAAGTGTATCACTCTTGCAAATAGCTCCTCTTTAGCAGATCCTGTTTTTGTTTATTGTTTGTTTATTCATTTATCCAGTCCTTGACTTATGCAGAAATGGATGTATCTAGCACCTAACAATGCTTTGTGCTTGGTACCCGGGTTATAGGGATGACATTATTATCTTATGTAAGCAAGTGGATGACACATTTGCAGTAGAAAGGATAATCATTCCAGCAAAGTTGTGCTCTCCAGTGGTGTAATGTAACCATTTCCATTACTTGTTATCTTTTTATTTTCTATAGAATGCTGATTTGAATAAAATAGACTTGAAGCTGTTAGTTTTTACTCTTAAATTCATTTTTATAATTTCACTGTCTCTCATAAGGAAGCTTCCCCATTATTGCATTCTCTCCTTTCTTGGTTCCTTAACTCATTACCTTCCCTGGTTGTTTCTTTATCGTTAGTGGGGAAGTTTATTGAATAACCTGGCTGTGGAAAATTTGGTAGACAGTAAAAACATTTGAAGTTGAAGTAAATGTTAGTATTGTTACCTGCTAAATCACCTGGTTTACACTGAGAGATAAGATATTATTTGGCAAGAGATGAGGGGGCAAGTTCATAATTTCAGTGGGAATTTGTTTTTTTATCAAAAGCGGAGACAAATCCAGTGATTTGAAGTTGGTATTACAAGTCAAGAAGTGTAATACATTTCAGCAGCATTGCAGTAGATTGATACTATGATCTTGTTGGTTTGGTTCTTTCATGAGTGAAAAATAAAAATGTTCTACTATATGTACTTGGCAATTCAAAGTTGTAAATTAGAATAAGGTAAAATGATAATGAAAGTGGTACTCTGGTACTTGAAAAAATATTTCTAAATGGTTACTCAAATGACAGAACATTGTATTTTATTTCTCTACACCTGTATGTGAAGGGCATATTATACAAAGAAAAGTTCATGAGGTATAGTAACTAGGTAATCCAAACTTGTTATATGTGTGGCATGCTTTGAGGTGATACCATTGTCTTTTTTGTCAAGGTATGTTATATCTGAACTGATAAATCTACATTTCTCCTGACTCTAATTATTTCTATAATAATAATAATTTTAGAACAAGAATTCCAAGTAAATTGCTTTACTTGAATTTTGAATTAATTTTTATTTTCAGAAAGCCAAGAGATACTCTGTTCTTCAGGAGTGAACCCAAGACTACCATAAATAAATTTCATTTATTTCTCAGCCTGTATTTCAGATACTCAGACCCACTGAGAACATAACTGTGACTGATAGAAGTAACATCTAATTGTTATATATTAAGGCTAACTTCCTTCCTCTAATCAATTCCAGGCTGCCAGGATATTGCAGATGAGTTCAGAGCACAGGAGATTGATGGACAGGCCCTTCTTTTGCTAAAAGAAGACCATCTTATGAGTGCAATGAATATCAAATTAGGCCCAGCTCTAAAGATCTGTGCACGCATCAATTCTCTGAAGGAATCTTAACAGGATCATGAGGCTGTGAGAAAACAGCGGTTTTTACTCTTCTTAAACAGACTTGTAAGGTAAAGGCGCAAGTTGGCCTAGAATATTATCATATATTGTGGTGGATAGCCAAGCACATTGGAATCTCCACATCAAAAGCTGACATTTCTTCTACAGATATAATTCATCATACATTTTCATAAGTAGCCTACATTGGTAAAATTGATTTTACAGGTTACATGCAACAATGAAAGACTGATATAGAGGGCCATGATATTTTTCAAAGAAACATGTTATACTAGATAATTTTTTAAAGGTGATGTTTATCGTTAATATAAAGAATCCTTTTAAAAATAATTTAATGATTTACATTTCTCCTGTTTTGATTCGGTTTTCTTATACATTTTTCTACCCTGTAAGTTTTCTATAGGTTGTCATGAGAGATATAATTTAGGAGTAATTTAGGACTAGTATAGGAGTCCAGTGACTGGAATTGTATGCAATGAGCTATCAGTGTGCATTTAAAAAAATATGTCTGTTAGACAATTGCTTTGTCTATAAAAAAGGATTGCATTCTAGCATGAATAATACTGATCTGGAAGTCAGAAGAGTTGGTTTCTATTCCAAACTTGACTAAGAATTTGGTGTGGCTGAGAAAGTTGGTTTTCCTCTTTGTTTTTGGACATTTAGAGCAGTGGCTCTCAGCAGAAGTCAGTTTTGCTCCCCATGGGACATTTAACAATGTCTAGGGACATTTTGGTTGTCATAGCTTGGAGGGGCTGGGTAGGGTTGTTACTGGCATCTAGGCCGTGGAGGACAGGGACGTTACTAAATATCCCACAGTGCACAGGACAGTCCTCCAAAACAAAGATTTACTGGGTCCAAAATATCAAGTAGTGTCAAAGTTCGGAAACCTGATGGAGGAGTGGTAAATGTTGCTCTTTTTTACCCAAAGGAATATTTTGAAAAGATGGGGCACAATAAGGAATACATGATCAGTGGAAGTATTTCAGATAGCAGATGTTCAAGTATTTTTCCTAATTTTATCCATCCTAGAAAAAAGGGGAAAGTCTACTAAATCGACCTGTAAAATAAGGACTAGCATACAAATAATTTGACTCTCAGAAAGTAGATTTCACATTAATTATCTTTCATACCTGCTCCTCTGCACTGATGAGGGCATACAGTGATTATACCTTATGAACCAGTGCATAGCCTTTACAAGTAGTCCAAGCTTACTTGGCCCCACAGAAGTTTGTAGTGGGTACATGGTTGGTCTTTGGATTTTTTCTAACCTTGAACATGCTGGGTCTAGCTAGAATACACATTCCTTTTTCCTTGACTAAACCCTTGCATGCTTCCTACAAAGTACCCACCAAGTAATATCTCTTGGATTATCAGACCTAATTTTGTATGTATATGTTTTAGGGAAAAAAATTTTAAAGTAAAATTTTTCACTAAATAGTTAAATAGTCAGAATTATGACAATAAAACAATTGTTGTGGGAGCTGTGAGAGCCTTAATAGTCCTGGACATTAAAAAAAATTTTTTTTTAATCTTTGCCACACGATGGAAATATTTTAAAATAGAAGGAACATACACAGATAATTGGTAGAAGTTCAGTTTAAGTGGGGAAGAGTCCATGGGTTTCAGTCATTGTCACTGCTCTTTTCAAAAAGATTGTGTTGAGCTAGTAGAGGACTAAAGATGTCATTAAAGACATCACAGATATTTATCTTTTGGCTTTGTGTACATTAGAGAATGTTGATTATTTTTATACAAAAATACAGCGGGTAATTTTTTTAATCTTTAGATGCCTCTTGTTTGAATGTATGCTTTGTGGGATTCTTTTGTGTAGTAATGTTTTAAAAAAAAGATGTTTACTGATAGTTACATGTAGGATTAGAAGGTGTAATATAGTGTAAGGCTCATGTTCCAGACCTACAATAGCTTGTAGTCTACGTCACATATTTCTTTATATCACATTTTTAATTGGATTAAAGTTTCAAGGAAAGGTAGGTACTCTATATAGTGAGTTTTCATTTGTTAGCAGTTAATCGTTATGACAGAGTTGTCATATGCTTGACTTTCCCCCATCATCTTCCAGTTTCAGAACACAAGTATAGGCAGAGCATCAGTAGGAGATGGTCCACTGTAGGGGGGCGTGGAGGGCACAAAGGAAAATCTCCCCCTGGAAGTAAAACTTTTTCATAGATAATCCACAAGCAATTGATTATTTGGGGATAGACTCCCCTAGCAATAATGATTATCTCCCATTACTCTATTATCTATAGCCTTTAAGGTATTTACTTTGAACTATGTATAGGTTCTCCTTTTATTTACTCCCTTTTCTTGTATCAGTCATTAGATACTAACTGAAAGCCCCTGTGCCTAGCACCGTGTTAAATATCCAAGAAAGCTTACAGGAAGGGGGATTTCCATTTGATGAGAGCACCTTATAATCTTAAATCTTGTAAATCTCAAAAGTAGTCCAGATCTTCTCTTGTCCTCACTCAAAACATACCTAGAAAATATACTTAGTTTTTCAAGTGAGCTATTTTATTTAGAAATGGCTCATTTGCTCAACTGGTAGTTTTCCCTGTTGATGCATCTGTTTCTCTCTAGACACTTTAAAATCAGAGCTTCAGTTATATATGATGAGTATGGATGATAACACTGGGCATGCACCTCTCTCCTAAGTTCTAAGCACAGTTCTGGTATGAATTAGGTGGGGAGAGTGTTCTTTTTCCTTCATGCTACTCATTGTTTTAGGATTTTCACTGAGGAGAAAGAATGACAAAAAGGGGACATGGGAAGTTCTTCCTATTTTTGCTACCTAAGTTTGCATTTTCTGACTTGTTTAAACTGATGCACTCTTTCCCCATTGAGGGAAATAAAACCTCCACATTTTGATTTTTATTTGCTTTAAGCCTTGTGTTCCTAAAAAAATAAACACACCGAGAAAGCTGGTTTGTAAACAATTTTTACATGACACGAATTTTCATCAAGCCTGGTGTAGGCATGTGTCTGACAAGCCATGCAGCTTGGATATAATCACTATTGATTAAAGCAGAGTGGCTGTCCGTAAACCTGTCCCTTTTTAAGTGGCATATAACTATTTCCAGGATGATACTTTTAATTTGCTGTGATATCACTAAACAGATGTTTTTCTTAGTCTTAGCTTAAGGGTTGTTACATAGGAGTAGGGAAGGTGGAATGGGAGAAGACATTAGCGAAGAAGCTTGAGAATGGGAGAGGCGGACAAGAGATCTGCCACTTTGCTTATCCCACTTCGACACTGAACAGATTTCTGCACTTTTGAATATTCATGATTTACCTAGTTTTAAATAGAAAGGATTTTTTTAGATAGCCCATTGTTTGTTTTTGTTTCCTAATGTGTTTAAACACTTACTTAGAACTGTATGAAGTACTGTTGTGCCCATGCCTTTGAATAATTTTTGACCTAGCTAATCCTCATAGAGCTAGTGTGAAATTATAGTCCGACATATACTCAGCTACAGTCTGAGACTGAAATCTGTCCAATGTCCCATATCACAGACTTGTTCAGTTAAATGTTATAAAGTCCTGTTATTTGCATTCTCAGTGTTCTGGTACCACCACGGCGTAAGTGTGGTAGGGTTGTGCTTACATGTTTACAGGTGTGTACACCATTTTGGAAAGAATAAACTATGATCGATGGATGTGAGTGATGCTGTCCTCACAGCCATACTGAGTAGCTGAAATCCCAGTTGGACCCAATGTTAAGAAGTCGTAAAAACATTTTAATCTAGAACCCTGTGCTTGTATCTCGTGGTTTGAAGATTCTCAGCCTTGATGACTGGTAGGAATGCATGCGGCCTGGGTGTGGTGGGCCTGAGCCTGAGCGGGCAGCCTCAGAGGGCCTCACCTACTGCTTTCCTCCTCTAAAAGCCTGTCCTAGTCAGGAGGGAACGGTGGGAAAACTTCTTAGACACCTTCATCTGAAAGTCCTTAGAGAGGGTTTGGTAGTAGGGTTAATATTAGGAAGGCAGTTAGGGCAGGAGTTTTTAATACCTAACGGTCATGTTTCGGTGAAACCTTTGGCCACAGTGTTCAGTCTGTTTCCTGTGCAGCGTGGGGGAAGGACAGGGAAGTGGAGGAAGAGACAAGGAGGAAAAGCATCCCAGACCCAAGGGGATAGCACAGTTAATGGAGCAAGGTTGTGTAATGTCGCTGTGGCCTTCAGTGGTTCAAAATAATACAGTGCAATGGTTGAATCCCAGTTACAGCAGTAAGGTTCATCTGTAATCATTCTCGTTCCTTCATTCTCCGTCAAGTGATCCTGCCCTTAGGAGGACTTCCTGTCCCTAAAAGAACTATTAATAAATAGTTCCAATGATACATAAGTTAGTGAATTTTGACTTCAAAGGTGGCAACTATTGTACTTGGAGAATACCTGTCAAACTCAAAGGTTAATTTTTATAATTGAGTTACTGGAATTGTAGAGGAGAGTATCCATTTTCAGATACCACAGTTGAATCGACCTTGTAGATTGTTACAAAGGCATTTTAAGATAGTATTTTATTTGTTAGGTTGTATCTAGGAATTGGATGACTAAGGAGCTATAGCTTTTTCTTTACTAGTATGGATTTCAATGGAAGCCTACCTCTGTTTCTTTAATGCACAGTAGTGTGGATCATGAAATGAACTGTTCAATTCACATTCATCAATTGGTATTTTATGAATCTATTTGAGAGCATTTGATTTCCTCTTAAAGATTGTTATTCAATTTAGATAAGCACAAATACAGTATTAGAAAAATAAATATGCAGTCTTACTAAAGTTTAAAGCTACTATAAGCTGTACATCTTAAAAAAAGTTCTTTGGGAAGATATTCCTTTTTTGTTAGTTCATAATATGTACCACTATATATTTCCTTCATACAGCAATACAAGCCATTTCTTCAATTAAAAAAAAAAAATGTTGACAATATCTTCTTTGGAAAAAGTTTCCTAAATTTTTAAGAATTTTAAGTTTTACATATTATTTTTTAGAGTTTATTTAATCTATTTTAAAGTAATACTATGAGAAAGCTTTTTTTGAAAGTTATAAAGCACTAATACAAATTAGCATCATTTTCCAGAGCAGTGTTTGGCTTTTTCTGAACTTTCACTTGAGCTTGCAGACATTAAAGGGAGTGGTCTCCCTCCTCCTCAGATCTGAGGCCCAGCTTCTCTAATGAAGACCCCGTTCTACTCGAACCCATGAACACACACCTCGTAAGTGCCATGTTTATGGGACTGTTTAGGAAAGGTTTTCCATGAATGGTTCCTTTTTTCTTTTTCTATAGCTTGTGAACATTTAATTTTAAAGATGATAGTTGTCATCTCAGATGTTGGAGAAGAGGGTACATTAGAGAAGTATTTGTTCCCACTGCTTCTGAAAAGTAGAATTGCTCTCAGTGATATTGATGGCGTCAGTATGAATCCATAGAAAGAAAACCTGTACAAAGGTTTTAAAGTGTATTGTTGAAAAGAAGTCTAGTGATGAATTTTAAGTCAGAAGAAACTTAATATAAATTTAAAGTACTGTTATGCTAACATGGCATAGTTTTAAATATAAGAGTAATTCAGTAAGTCCTTTTAGACCGCCTATTTAAATTGACTCCAGTAATCTTCTTAAGGATTGATAGTAGCCATCATTTATTGGCTTAAAAGTTATGCTTTAGGGAATATTATCAGTGTTAAATCCATGTTTTGTGGAGCTTTAATTAGTGGAGGTGAGGAAGTTGGTGTGTATAAGGTAGTGGTGGGGCTGATAGTGAAATAAACATCAACCAGCTTGAGAAAGAAGGAACTGGGTTTAGTCTTGGCCTCAGGCAAACCAGAAGTGTCCACTGTTTAAAATCTCTGTTTAGAATGTGTGGTTAAAGTCTTTATTCTTTTTGTTTTAGACAGTACTAAATAGTCTACTTCAGTACTCAATAGTAGATGAACATAATCATTAAATTAACATGATGAATGAAGATAAAACGCGGGTTGGGGGCTGGGCGTTTTACTTGCAGTTGGTGATTTAGCGTGTGCAGCACCTTCAGCCCTTCCTTAGCCTTTAATCTGTTCCATCTCCTGAATACACATAACGGAGCCTCTACTACTCAAAAGGCTGATTGTGGTTTAAATCCTCTTTAAGGCACCTCCCGGCTCTAAAACTATGATTCTAGGCCACATAAGAGGGTATTTTTCAAGTTGTTTCTACTTAATTCTTTTTCCCTTTTTATTGGTTCATTTCATATTAAGAGCTTTTGCTAAAAGATACTTGTTAAGTGTCCATTTCCTGGGTCACTCGCAGTCTTTGTTCTCTTACAGATTAAAGCAGAGAAGAAAAATTGTCCAGACAAGCAAATGAGGGCATTTTTCTAAATGCTTCCTGCTAGTTCACCACTGAACATATATGAACACATGTAAACACTTTCATTCATGCATTCATCCATTCATTTAGCAAACCATGTGAACACTTACTGTGTGCGCTGTGTGGTATACATGACTTAAGGAACTGGTAACGAGTACACAAAATCTTCCCAAACAAAATTCTAATTGTGGCTTTAAACAAACATGGACATTATTATTACTTGCTGTACTGAATGTGAAGCTGGAACTGGGGGAAATTTTTATGCACTAGGTTAAAGTATTACGCTAGATCTAAAGGGTCTGAGTGAATCACAGCACTGTTCCTAAGACACATTTCACATACCGATCACAGTCAATCATACACCTGATTAGGTTACAAAATCAAGGGTACCTGATAGGGATTTACATTTAGAGACTGTTGTGACAGCCCATTATTTCTCAGAATTATTTTGATACACTTGAATCTATTCCAGAGGTGTTGCTATACAGGGTGTGTGACAGAACAATACAAAGAAAGAAGCTGGTGCTGGTTTACTATATATTTGTAATGATAAAAGCTTTACACCCAGTATTGACAGTGGAATAACTTTCTCAAACTGAAAAGTCTCAAGGGGGATTGCTAAACAGGTTTGTTTTTTATTGTCTTTTGTTGATAAAGCAAGAAATTATTACACAAATTTACTGTTATTACAAATATCTACATTTTAAAAAGCACACATGTATTACATAGTAAATGGGTTTCCTTTAAAATGCAGTACTGGTCAACAAAAAACCATTCGATGCTTGAACTGACAGCTGTTTGGGGAATAAATACTGAATGGCATTGAGTAATTGGGTTAACTTTCCTTACCACTTGGGGTTCTGTGAAATGATGTTCGAATTCCTGTTGATCCAGTGATACAGATTAACATCATGCTAGCATTCTCCATAAAGATACCAAATGAAAATAATTTTTTCCACCCCTCAAAATAAAAATATCTGCTATTAAAAAAGATCTTCTGTGCATCACAGTTGCAGCTTTTAAAGCAGGAAAGTGTCCCAGTACATGTTAGATTAGAATCTAAAACGGATTGAAAATAGAACACTGACATCCAAGTAACCAGATAGTCTGGGTTTAAAATTTGCCATGGTCTTGGTTAAAATTTACTCTTAAAATGTTTTAATTTACCTAAGTTTTCAGGTATTTTATGCTGTTAAAATATCTGTTGTATACTTCTTGTATATGCATTTTTTAATTTTAAAAAGCTAATGGAGTATGCAAAGATGGTATAATTTTAGATGTCTGATTGCTAGTATACTATATTAGATTCCCAATCACCTCATTCAGAAATTTGGTCTTGTTTTTCCCATAGGAAAAAAAAAAAAAGTCAAAATGAGTTCTAAAAACTATCCTCGGAGTGAGCTGTGGTAAAAGGCTGGAGTTGTAGACACAGTGCAAAGGTGTACTGATGGGAGAGGCGAGGGTGGGCATTTCAGGTCTCTATTAAGTCACTGCTTTTGTCTTCTTGTTAAAAAAAAAAAAAGTTACTTTGTTGATTTAACAAAGGCAAATTGTTGTGGTGATTTTTTTTTTTTTGATGCTTCAAGCACATGTTAACTGATTTTTAAATTCCTTTTGGTTCCTCCCATTGTTCTAAAATAGGAGTTCGATATTACTAAAACCTCAAAAGCTCATCTACCCAGGTTGAACAAAGCATCACCAAGGGGAAAGGAAACCTTTTTTTACTTTTTCAGTAAGCAGATGTTAAGATTATATATAGATGTATTCTTTCCATTGGATATTGTATTAGAGTCCTCCTTACGGGAAATGAAATAGTTTTAGCACTCTTAGCATTAGTGTTCCTAGATTGGTGTCTATAGCTACAGTTTTAAAATGTATAACCTGAAAATGAAGTTAATTTTGCATTATAAGAGCACACCATGATCTATGTAAAAAGACTGTCCATTTGGTGTATTTTTTTTTTTTAAAGAGAAAGCACTTTCATATTAACAAGTAGCATGTGTATGAATTTTAGATTTTCATATTTGTTGTGTCTGTATTCAGTGAAGTAAAATTGAGCATTCAGATGTTTGTTGATGGCAACATTAACTGTTCAATTAAAGCACCTTATACTCTGCTGCTTAACCTTGCTTGTAATTGCACCTTTGTTACCTGCACATTTTCACACAGAATATTGTTAACATTGCTTCATGTGGGTCTGGATGGAAGGTTAGTGGGCCTACAGGATCATTTATTTATATTGTTTATATTACAATAATATATTGTAGACCAGTTGTAAGTTCATTTCTTTACAAATAAAAGTCTCTTCCATTTGGCTGGTCTATTGGATAATTTTTTTCTTTAAGCTTATGAGGGCCTTGAAATATTTACAAAACTCTGCAGAGTGTAAATCTTTACTAATTAAGTACAACGTATTTTAAAGTATCTCAGTCCTAGGTAATGGCCAGTTAGAAAGTGGTACAGTCAGAGGGAAAGTAACCCAGAGAAGCAGAGGGGACCAAGTTTAGAAACAGTGACAGTTACAGTATCTACATAGTTGAACAAAGTGACTTCAGATGATTCTGCCGTCGAGGTGGTTTTACTCTGGCAGTTCTGCCCACCAGGGGAGGTTTGGCAGTGTCTGAGACGTTTTCGTTGGTGTGTCTTGGGCAGAGGGAGGGCGCGTGCTGAACGCCCTCCGGTGCACGGGCAGTCTCCCACAACACAGAACCGCCCAACCCAAAAGGTGAGCAGTGCTGAGGATAAGAAATCCTCCTCTACTTTCCAGTGGGACACACTGCCCAGGTGATTATGATTTGACATGCAAGTATGTGACATACAAGTTACAAGTGAAAATGAATCTGGTATGTCATGGAAAGAGACCTAGTCGCTACTCCCAGTTCTGTAAGGTGAGCAACTAAAAACTTTTTTCCAGGATTATCTGTATTAAAAACAGAGATATATTTTTGAAAATTACCTAAATTTAAATTGAGCTGATCTTCCCTTTATGTTAAAAGAATATTTACACCAAATAATTTTAACAAAATGATCTTGATTTTCTTGCTTTGAATTCAATAAAAATGTTTATTTACACTTGTATAGTATTGGCAGAGAATCTCAGATTTACATAACATGTTTGCATCCAGTAGTTTTTCGGGTGACATGAAATCAGTATGGCCAAGTATTAACTAATTTCACTTTTGTGTTAAATTAATATTGGTAACATGCAGTGTTCCTGAATAGGTATAACAAAATTCTCTTGGAATTATTTGGTTTTTACTACCTTAGCCCCAAAGACACATTCTGAAAAGGTATGAAAGGTGGGCCCGGGGAGTGGAGCTTCAGCTCAGTTCAGTCTTTGTCCTTTCCTGTTTGTAAAATTATGATTCTTACTATAGTTGTCAGTTTTAACATGGCAACATTAACAAATTATTATTGATATAGGCTTTTCAATTTGCTCAAGATTATGAATTGTAAGTGGAATGAAGCAGCATTTCCAGTTGACGAATGGATCCACAGGTAATGCAATGTCTCTTAAATTAAGCTTGTGACAATTAAACCAATAAATTGTAGCAATCATAAAACTATTGATGAAGTACAACCACGGAATGTTCATCTCAATATACGCTGGAATCTGTACTTTAAGTAAAAGGATAATTACTTGAAGTAGAACAAATGGTAACCAGGTACCGAGAAAACAGATAATGAACTTGGGCAAGAGCGTTTTTTTAGAGCTCAGAGTATAACCACAATGGGATGGAAAGGGGAAATACAGGATAGTCTCATTCATATAGGAAGTCATCCTAACAGCCTGTATCAAAGCAATAACTTCTGACCAAGAGGTCAGAAAAGCCATGAACAAAATCACCACCATGGAAAATGACAGCCAGTAACTCTGAATGCTAATGTAGAAAGGACACTGATAAGAATAAACATTCTGTGCCTTCAGGCTTTGGTAGATAGCTGGATCTCCCAAAACATAAGCAAGGACTGAAATCCAAATTAAAATTACTATAAAGAAATAAAATAGTTTTTGACACTTAAATGCAAGCTTTGTGGTTTTAGAGAAATTCAGGTAATAATCTATACAAGCTATCAGGAAAACTGGATAATGCAGAAAGCCGTAAGTGAAAGAAATAATTTGAGTAAATAGGCAAATGTGGTATTTAGTAAACCTAATGCCTAAAAGTACAAAATCCCTGAAATAGAATATAATGGAAATGTTTACTAAAAGTAAAAGATCGATGAATGCTAGTGAAATGCAAAAATATTCCATAAAATTTTGATAGCTGATTTTTCTTCTCATTCCTAGTGTGAGGATATTCAGTAATATTTTCCCAAGTATAATCAAGAATAGCAGACAGTTACCATCTAGAGGCTGATTTGCTTGATGTAACTGGTACTGAAAAGAGCAGTTCTCTGAAGAAAGAGCAGTCATGGTTTTAGCTGAACTGCAGAAGGTCTGCTGAAGTACATACGATAAAACACTGCTTCATTTTAGCTTCCATCCCTGTAAGGAAAAATGAAAAGAAAACCTGATGCCATGTCTAATTTTACTAAAGCTTTATTCTCAGGGCGCCTGGCTGGCTCAGTCTGTTAAGCGGCTGCCTTAGGCTCAGGTCATGATCCCAGGGTCCTGGATCAAGTCCCACATTAGGCTCCTTGCTCAGTGGGGAGCGTGCTTCTCCCTCTGCCCCCCCCTTGCTTGTGCCTGGTCTCTCTCTCTGTCAAATAAATCTTTAAAAACAAAACAAAACAAAAACTTTATTCTCAAAGAACTAATTTAATCCAATCATTTCTCAAATAATTACAGTTGATCCTTGAACAAGGAAGCAGTAAGAGGCGCTGATACTCTGTACAGTAAAAAATCTGTATATAACTTAACTCCCACAAAACTTCACTACTAATAGCCTACTGTTGACTGGAAGCCTTACCAGTAAGTCAGTTAACATATATTTTGTACACGTGTTATATGATGTATTCTTACAGTAAAGTAAGCTAGATAAAAGAAAATATTAGGAAAACCATTAGGAAAATACATGTATAGCACTGTACCGTATTTATTGGAAAAAATCGGCATATCAGTGGAACTTTGCACTTCCAAACCTGTGTTGTTCAAGGGTCCATTATAAATATATAAATAGGAATTTATATTTCTCATAATACAGAATATGATCAGAAAGAATTAATGTGTACACTTTGGTCATTTTTTAAGATCCACATGGCCCAGACCTCTCCGCTCTATAAATAAAATGTTACATATAAATTACCACTTCTATAAAAGTATGGGTTTTAATAACTTGTAGAGATAGAAAAGTACTTTTATGTACCAGCACCAAAACTCAGGATAAAATAGCAGCCTGAGAGGAATACTCAGTTAACAATTACTGATGACTGTTAACCCAGTTTCACTGTGACTCTAGACCCACCCAGCTTTCTTTTTGTCAGTGAAATTTAGGATAGCATTTTGCTGCAGGATCATCATTCTGAAACTCCAAGATAGAAAGCAGATGGTAAAGCTGAAAATACTAGGGATATAGGTAAAGGAAAGAAAATTCACTTTGGGACATGGTCTTTCAAATATGGCACCTGGATAGACAAGGGAATCCGGGGGAAGGAATAGGGATTGAGTATGGATTAAAGAACATTAAGGACTTCCAGGTAAAGGCAAAGGAACAGGAGTTGAGGCTTGAGGGACTAAGGCATTTGGAGGCAGAAAAAAAAGAAAAGATGATGAAAAAGAAAGGTCAAAGAGGAAGAAATCGGAAAAAGGGTGGAAGGAGAGGCACCTGGCTGGCTCAGTTGGTAGAGCTTGCGACTCGATTTCAGGGTAGTGAGTTTGGGCCCCATGCTGGAGGTAAAGATTACTTTAAAGAAAAAAAAAAAAAAGATGGAAGGAAGTTTAAGAAATTTATCATTTAAAAAATCACACGTTTGACCAAAAGTTGTTTCTGTTCCACCCACTATTTATAAATAATGAAATGAACAGTAATGAACCCACTCACAAATGTCAACAATTGGAGATGGGTTAAAAATAATACATGGTGCATCCTTACAATATACTCTAAGGAGGAAGACCGTTTTCTTTCTTCCTCTTCTGTACTCGTTAAATGTTAAGCCTAATGAATTTGTTAAATGGTAAAAAATATAAACTCCTACAGTATGTCTAAGTGAATTGCGGGTCACAAAATTACATAGCAACATCTAATTATTAAGACATTATACACGTACAGAAAAAAAACAAGAGTACACATTGAATTACTAATGTAGTGTTACAGGTGTCTCCAAATTTCTCAAACTTCAAGGAAAAAAAGTAAGGGAATATTAAGTCTGAAAAGTAAAACAAACTGAATTTGCCTAAAACCAGATAAATGATGATTTAAATAATTTCAAGGAAGTAGTTGAGGATAATGCCTGAGGGTAAAGAAGATTAGCGTGAGGGAAGGCTATCAGTTCTCTTGACAGACTGAACTCTAACTTGATAGTCTTTCCATGTTGAGAAGAGAGTTCAACTGATTTTTTGAGCTTCTGTGTTCATCTTTACCTTGTCCAACTTTAGCAAGAATCCTGCTAAGAGAGGTTAGCCAGACTCTGATCCTCAGGACCTGATGTCCTTCAATATCTGACCGGGTTCCTTATCCTGCACCATCTTCCAATGATGACCTATCACCCTGTCCTGCCTTTAGCAAGAATCCCTTATTATCCCTGATGTTTCCTCAATAATATTCTACCCACTAACCTCCACCTTGTTCCTTGGCTGCAAATTCCCACTATTCCTCATTGTATTCAGAGTTGAGCCCAATCTTTCTACCCAACTGCAATGGTCCCTACACCTAGCACAAAGGTCCTGGGTAAAGTCTAAAGTCTGCTTTACTGTTCTTTAACAAGGATCATGAATAATTTTTCCTTTAAATACTGTCACGGCTATAAATCTGCCATGTCATAAGGTGACTTACTAAGGTACACAAATTATGTATTTATACACACAAATATGTATATATGTAAAGAGTTATAAAAAATCAGTTAATACCTATTTTCATAACTATAAAAGAACCAATGAAACTAGCTTTTGTAGGTATATAGTTCATATATAGTTGACACTTTTCCAAAAAGTTCCATTCAGATTTGATGTAAAAAGGCATCGACTCATGGCTACCATCTTGATAAATGCCACTGGCTTTTATAAGTCGTGGTGTCTGGATAAGGAAGCCCAGACGGAATAAATAAATGAAGTCTTCCTTGTGCCGAGAAAAAAACCAGGCTGCTTTAAATAGCCAATATTGGTTTAGAAGGGGTGTGAAGAAGGTAAATAGAGTAGGTTCATATTTATAAAGACCCAGCTAAAAAGATATCTTTAGGATAAAAGGGAATTATCTGTATAAAATGATTTTATCCTTTGTAACTCATCCGAAATTAAATAAAGCTAAGGAATCCCTGTTTAAGTGGTCAGCAATCAAGGGATATTTCCAGAGTTTTCCATTTCCTCACTGGTTCTCAGGGGCCAACTGCAAGGACAGAAAAGCAGGCTTGTCCCTGGATGAAGAAAGTAACTGGGGAGAAGGATGATCAGCTATAGCCACCAAGACACCAGTCAGGAACCTCTTTAGAAAAGGAGTGGAAGAATGAAGACAAGTTTGAAATGGAATGTGTAAGAGAACCAGAAGGCTGTAAGAAACTAGAACTGAGGTGGGAAAAGCCTTGGGAAGCTATGCAACTTGAAGCAGTAAAGAGCCATCAAAAGGAAGGATATTGGAACATAAGGCTCTAGTCATTTTACACTGGCTCCTGAATATTGTGATCCTGGGAACCAATCAAAACTTTTTCATGATACCAATTTTATGCCACACTTCCCTATAGTCCACTGAAAGTACTCAACATTCCAGTATTTTGTTCTTTAAACAACCTCCTGAGACGAGACAAAAATATCCTTTGATAGGCTACCTGTACTGAATTTTCCCTTGAAAAATGTTCATATTAACTGCAGGGATCCAGAGATTTATAAGATATGGCTCTTTTCCTGAATGATTTTTTAAACTATGTATGAATCAACTCGTGTGTTTCGTATACAACGTGAATAGTTAATGTGGAAGTCCTTTTAAGGCATCATTGGGCTTACTTTATGATCTGGCCACTTTAGAAGAATTAGCAGGAAACAAACCATGATTTCTTTTCACTAATCCCTTCTCCAGGCTCCTATTGAAAGCCCAGGGGCACCTGAGTGGCTCAGTCGCTTAAGCGTCCGACTCTTGATTTCGGCTCAGGGCATGATCTCAGGTTTGTGGGATTGAATGAGCCCTGTGGCCCCATGTTGAGCTCAGCAGGGACTCTGCTTGTCCCTCTCCTTTTGCCCCTCCCCCTACTTGAACTCTTTCTCAAATCAACAACAACAAAAACCCCAATTAGATGCCCCGGTGGCTCAGTGGCCCAGTCAGTTAAGCGTCTGCCTTCAGCTCAGGTCATGATCCCGGGATCCCGGGTTCGAGTCCCACATCGGGATCCTTGCTGAGTGGGGAGCCTGCTTCTCTTTCTGCCTCTGCCTGCCACTGTGCTCTCTCTGACAAATAAGTAAATAAATAAAATCTTTAACAAACAAACAAACATAGGGTACCTGGGGGGCTCAGTGGGTTAAGCCTCTGCCTTCAGCTCAGGTCATGATCTCAGGGTGCTGGGATCGAGCCCTGAATCTGGCTCTCTGCTCAGCAGGGAGCCTGCTTCCCGTGCTCTCCCCCCACCCCGCCTACTTGTAATCTGTCTCTCTCTGTCAAATAAATAAAATCTTTAAAACAGACAGACAATTCCTGACAACACTCAATGCTTTATTTACTCTGCTTTCTCCAGTAGGTCCTTCTTAGCTGATAATCTCAGTTTTACTTCCTTTAGGGATCTTGATTTTGGTACGTGGCATTCCAGATGCCATGTGACTAAGCTCTGTGTGAAAGAAAACATAAACAACCACCATTAAGAGCAGCCACTGTGGGATTCAGTGTAACTAACTGGCTCTAACTCTCTGCTTAGAAAAACTAACTTTCTGGGGGATTAAAGCCAGTAATTAACTACTTATATTCTTTTTTTCCAGGGAAAGGAAGACGGGATACATTTAGGTGGAAGCCCCCAAAGGCCCCGAGACATGGGTACATATCACATCGCATCTATTTAAACAAGTCTTGCTGGCATTGCGGTTTCTGCCCTTAGGCTTCAGAGTCTAAACCAGTGTTCTCAAACTATTTGGTTTCAGGACTTTTTGACACTGGTGGCATGTAACATAAGAAACATTTTTTTTTTTTTAATGAAAAATTACTATATTTTCCCAAAAGGAAAAATTTAGTGAGCAGGGGGCATTTTTCACATTTCACAAGCTGCTTTGGTGTTCGGCTCAATAGCAGGTAGCTGAAGGTCTCCTCTGTACCAGCTGTAGTATCACACATCACGTAGCTTTTGCAAAGTCCTGTGTTACATTATGAGAGTTTGAGAATAAAAATACATACTATTATAATCAAAGAGTTGTGTTACACTGTCTCAGAAGTCTGACAGAACCGTTTGCATTAAACACAAGTATTTAAAGAGGAGCAGGGTTAACGTTCTGGTCTACTCTTGTACAGGAAATAGAATTAGTACTGCAGCTAGATTCGCTGATCCCAATGAATGGAGAAAACCTACAGTAGAAATCACGTACTGAGCCTTGTTCAGGGGTTTACATACCTGAACCTTTACAACAATCCCCAAAAGGTAAATATTTTTCCACATGAGGAAACAGATGCAGGGGTAAATAAGCACATTTCCTGAGGGCAGATGACTGATAAATGTTGGAGCTGAAGTTCAAGCTCAGGTCTGAATTCAAAGCTCATATTCTTCAGTAAGTGACATTATGGTTTGACTCACAACTGGAAATGAAGAAAGGGACCCAATTTATGTATGTGAAAAAATTCTGAAAAGGTGACATCCAAATAAAAGTGACTGTGTTGATTATTGACACCCGAAGGACTGTAACTAATCTATGTGTATAATGTAATTTTATTCTTTCAAAAGGTAATTGTACATAAACTTTTCAAAATATGGTCCTTGCTTGGGGCACCTGGGTGGCTCAGTGGGTTAAAGCCTCTGCCTTCAGCTCAGGTCATGATCCCAGGGTCCCTGGATGGAGCCCCACAATGGGCTCTCTGCTCAGCAGGGAGCCTGCTTTCCTCTCTCTCTCTCTGCCTGCCTCTCTGCCTACTTGTGATGTCTGTCTGTCAAATAAATAAGTAAAATCTTAAAAAAAAAAGTTTAAAAAAAATATATGGTCCTTGCTTGATATGTCAAAGTTCAGTTAAAAAAACAAAGTGTCCCTCAATTCTGACAACTTTTAAAGAAACATGTTTTCATTCATTTATAGTATAATGAAATTCAATATAGAAAGTTAAGAAAATACAAAAAAACTTGTTTTTTAAAATAGGTTAATACAATTTACATGGTATAAAAGTCAAGTTATAGAATTATATGCTGTGAAAATTCATCCTGCCCGCTCTTTCAACATCCTTTACCCCCAAACTCCTCACTATCCAGTTCAGTTCCCTCCCTAGATAAAACCATGGTTACCACTTACTTGCCTGTCTTTCAGAGATACTCTAAAGCAAGGTTTTACAAAGAAACCTGAAATTTCCATGTTGTTAAGGAAGCTAGCAAAGAATTCTTGATTTGCCCTTTTCCAAGTCTCATTCATATACTGGTAAAAATCACATAAGAGTTTCAAAGGTAGAACACAACAAAGTACGAATCAATGATCAGTCAGATTACAGCAGTAATTCCCACCAACCCCAAATATAAGGCTGGTCATGAGGAAGGAAGGTCATCTAGGCCAGGAAGGAAGACAGGAAGTAAGGATTATCTCAGAGTAGAATGACAGGTGCTCTCGTTTTCCTGGAGTATAGAATTACAGTGCTCACTCCTACCTACTTCTCTGCTTCTAGGCCCACAGGGAGATTTCAGTTTCTTGACCCTTAAAATTAGGTGGGCCCATGATGTGGGTATATCCAGCCAAAGGGTTATGAGGTTCAAGCATTTAATTGCAGAGGAGAAGGCTCTTCAGTGTTCTCTTCTCCTGCCACAGCGAATAGAGCGGCCATGTGTTCCAGGTGGTACAGCTTGAGATGGTGGAGCCTTTAACCTGGGTCCTTGAGTGACTGTGTGGAGCAAAGCCTTGATGACTCAAAGTGGATGTACGGTGTAAGTGAGAAAAGTCTGTCATATTAAGCTGCAAGGATTTTGTGATTATTTCTTATTGCCCATCCTAACTAACACATTTCCATAGAACTTGAATTTTTTCAACAGCATGTATTATTTATATTATCAATTTTAAAAAGCTATAGTAGAAAACAACTTTGAAAAACAACAGTGCAAATGTCAGAAAATTGGTAAAATAAAAATTCAGTGTTAATTCCCAATACATGAACTGGTTTTGCATTGTTTTGTTGTGATTCTCTTTGTATTTGTCTGTATTGGAAAAGAAGGTCTCAAGTCACTGACCTAAGTTTCCACCTTAAAAAAAGAATGAATTAAACCCAAGGTAAACTAAAGGAAGGCTCTAAGAGCAGAAAACAATGAAGTTTATAAAACAAACAGAATAACCAATGAACCAAAAGCTAGTTCTTTGGAACAACAACAACAACATCAACAACAATGAATTGATAAAACTTCAGCCAAACTAAGCAAGAACCTACCAAAACTAGGAAAGAGAGGACCTCACTACAGATCATACAAACACTGAAAGGATAATAAAGGACTGCTATGAATAATTTTAATAACTGTCATGGAACATAAATTTCTGAAAGGACCAAATCTCATTCAAAAACATCCCTAACGATCTCTATTAAAGAAAGTGATTTTGGACTTAAAAACCTTCCCACAAAGGTTCTAGGTTCCTACAAACCTTCCCACAAAGGTTCTAGGCTCACTCTAGATGAATTCTACTAAACATTTAAGGAAGAAACAGAAGACAGAAATACCTCCTAACTTCTTTTACAAGATCAGAATCACCCTGATAGTAAAAGCAAAAACATTTTAAGAAAACTAAAGAGAAAAACTGTAATGATCATCTGAATTGACACAGATAAAGCATTTAACAAAATCCAACATGATTAAAACTTCCACAAACAAACAGTAAGAGGGAACTTGCCAACCAGATAAAAAGCAGCTATGAAAAACCTAAAACCTACACCTAACCTCATGCTTAGTGATGAAAGAGTGGCCATTTCCCCCCCACCCCAAAATCCACCCTTCACTCAACAGTTTTTTGGAAACCCTATCCAGTGCAATAAGGCCTTAAGAGGAAATAAAGGGCAGGAAGATTGGAAAGAAGTAAAGCTGTAATCATGGATCATGTAGTTAGAAAATCTAAAGAGTCTATAATAAAGCTACTAAAAGTAACAAGTAAATTTAGCAAGTCTGCAGGTTTTTTTTTTTTTTTAAAGATTTTATGTATTTATTTGACACAGAGATAGCACAAGTAGGCAGAGCGGCAGGGAGGGAGAAGCAGGCTCTCTGCAGAGCAGGGAGCCCGATGTGGGACTCAATCCCAGCACCCTGGGATCATGACATGAGCCGAAGGCAGACGCTTAACCAACTGAGCCACCCAGGCAGCCAGGTTGCAGGTTTTTTAAAAATCATATTTCTAGACACTAGTGATAAACAATTGAAAAATGAAATTAGAACATTTTATTAGCATTAAAAATAGGAAACATTTTGGCATAAATTTGACAAAGCTCACCCAAGCCCAGTATTCTGAAAATTTTAAACAATACAGAAAGAAACTGAAAATCTAAATCAATGAAGATCTATACCATGGGTTGGAAGACTCAGTATATCTTTTTGTTGTTGAAACTGGCAAGCTGATTCTACAACTTATATGGAAATGCAAAGGACTGAGCAGAGCCAGATTTTTAAGAACAACAGAGCTGGAGGACTTCTACTACCTGATTTTAAGACTTGATTATAAGGGTACAGAAGGAAGAGGATGCTATCAGCATAAGATAGTCCTATAAATTAGTGTAATAACAGAAGAGTATTCAGAAATGGATCCACATATTTATGGTCACTTGATTTTTAAAAGGAAGGTAATTCAATGGGGGAAAAGACAGCCTCTTCTAAAAATGATGCTGGAGAGTGGATATCCATATGGGAAAAATTACATCGCATCATACCCAAAATAAACTCAAAACTGATAAGACTAAACGTGTGTGGGGGGTGTCAGGGGATGGGTGAAACGGGTGACGGGGATTAGGGCATGCACTTGTGATGAGCAGTGGATGTTGTTGGAAGTGCTGAATCAGCACACCCGAAACGTACTATACCGCATGGTAACTAGCTGGAATTTAAATAAAAACTTTAAAACAAAACAAAAAAAACCCTTAAAAATGTAGAAATGAAATCAAAATATCTGGAAGAAAAAAGAAAATCTTTGCGGCCCTGGGCAGGAGTATTCCATTCCTCAGCCTGCCATAACAAATTAACCACCGGGTGGCTCAAAACAACAGGAATTTATTCTCACAGTTCTAGCAGCCAGAAGACCAAAGTGTCAGCCAAGACACACTCCCTTTGAAGGCCCTGGAGGAGAATCCTTCCCCACCTCTTGCACCTTCTGCTGGCTGCTGGCACTCTGTGGCCTGTGGCAGGACATCACCCACCTCTGCCTCTCTCTCTGTCTCTCCAGGGCCTTCTGCGGTGTCTCTCTGTGTCCTCTCCTCTTTCTGTAAGAACACTACTGGATTTAGGGTCCACCTTAATTTAATCCTACATGACCTCACCTTAATTACATCTGCAAAAACCCCATTTCCAAATACGGCCGCATTCCAGGTGGGTGTGGATTTGGGGGGGATCCTAGCCAACCCACTCCAGTAGGCAAAGCTTTTCTTAGGACATCCACACATACACAAATTGAAAAGGCGGGCTTGTTA